TGTCTCTCGTTGTCCGACTGTGTCTCCTCGCTCCTACCCCCTGCCTCCTTATCCTGGTCCTCCTCCCTGTTTCTCCTCCTACTCCCGCTTCGCCTGCTTTTTCCAGTCCTTTTGTTCCTCTTCCTCCTCTTCCTCCTCTTCCTCCTCTTCCTCCTCCTCCTCCTCAACCTCCTCCTCCTCCTTCCCAAGAGGCCTCTAAGACGCCCAAGATGGCCTCCAAGACGGCCCTGAAGCGCCTCAAGAGGACCCCACATCGGTTCAGAGAGGCCCCCAAGACGGCTTCCGACGGCGTCAGACCCGTCTGACGGGCCAGGAACGCTTTAAGACGGCCAAGGAGATGCCTCCAAGACGCCCCCAAGGCTCCCCCAAAAAGGCCCCAAAGAGGCTTCCAAGAGGCCCCCGGGGGGCCCCCAGGAGGCCCCACAAGAGTGCCCCAATAGGCTCCCAAGAGGCTTCCTCCTCCTCCTCCTCCTCCTTCTCCTGATCCTCCCCCTCAGCCTCCCCCAAGTGTTCCCCGAAGAGTTTCCGGAGCGGCTGGGGGAATGCATGATCATATAGCTTGGCCAAGCTGGGGCCCAACGTTTGGCCACATAGGCGCTTCTGAAAAAGGCTGGGGGCGGCGGTGATGCCGTAGGCGTCTTGGATCCGCCGCCCCCTGTGCTTGCCACAGGGGTGGACGGCGTGCCAGACATTCCTGGTTATTTTTAAACCCTTTTGGTTATTCCTGGTTGGACGGTGCTGCTCTGGGTTTTTTTTAACCCTTCCCAGTGGCCTTCTTCGGCCCAGACCGCCTGCCCCTCGGAAAGACCAGAAGGTGTGGCCCACATTTCCACCAAGACGGCCCAAATGGCCCAAGATGGCCACCAAGATGCCTCCAAGGCGGCTAGGATTGCCCCAAGAGAGTCCAAGACGGCCCCAGTATGTCTCCAAGACGGCCCAAGATGCACCCGAGGTGTTCCAAGATGGCCCCAAGATGGCCCAGGACGGCCCAAAAGGCCCCCCAGAGGCTTCCAATGCAGTCCAAGAAGCTTCCAAGGGGACCTGCAGGAAGGCCCGAAGAGGCAAAGACAGCTGATTTCCCGTGGGCTCTTGACGGATTTTGACGTTTTCGGCCTGCCGACGGCCCAATGCCGCCGAAGAGACCCCCAAGATGGCCCCAAGAGCGCCCAAGAGGCCTCCAAGATGGCCCCATGACGGCCTCCAGACGGTCCAAGAGGCCCCCAAGGCGCCTCCAAGACGGCCCACGAGAACTCAAGGCGCCCACTCGTCATCGTCGTCGTCGTCGTCGTCGTCGTCGTCGTCGTCGTCGTCGTCGTCGTCATCGTGGTCGTCAAACCTCTTCCAGTTTCCTAATCAAACCCCTCCCCTTCTCCCTCCCCCTCCCCCCCCCCTCCCTCCCCCTCCCCCCCCCCACCACACCCCCCCTCCCCGCCCCCCTCCCCCCCTCCACTCCCCCTCCAACCCCCCCTCCACCTCCCCTTCCACGTCCCCCTCCACCTCCCCCATCCACCCCCTCGGATGTCCCTTGGAACCTTTCTGGGAGCACCCAGGGGGCTCCAGAGGGCCCCAAGAAGGCTCCAAGACGCGCCCCAGAGACCACTGAGAGGTCTCATCCAGACGCGCTGTTCGATGACACCTACTAGCGGTTTCTGAGGCCTCTCTTGGGCCCCTCTTGGGCCCGTCTTTGGGCCCTCCTAGGGCCCTCTTGGAGCTATCATGTGGACCAACAAGGGGCCCAAGAGGGCTCCAAGAGGGCCCCAAGGAGGGCCCCAAGAGGGTTCAGGAGTTATGTATCAGCGGCCGCTGGGTTGGTACATCATTCCTGGGGCCTTTTTGGAGCCCTCTTGGGGCCCTCTGAGGGCCAACCCGGGGCCCAAGAGGGCAAGAGGGGCTTCAGAGGGCCCCAAGAGGGCCCCAGGAGTGACGTACCAGCGGCCGCTGGGTTGGTACATGATTCCTGGGGCCTTCTTGGGGCTCTCTTAGGGCCAACCAGGGGCCCAAGAGGGCTCCAAGAGGGCCCTCAGAGGGCCCCAAGAGGGCCCCAGGAGTTATGTACCAGCGGCCGCTGGGTTGGTACATGATTCCTGGGGCCTTCTTGGGGCCCTCTTGGAGCCCTCTTGGGGCCCTCTTGGAGCCCTCTTAGGCTCCTCTTGGAGCCATCTTATGGGCCAACCAGGGTTCCAAGAGGCCCTGGGCCCCAAGAGGGGCCAGGCCAGAGTCCCACGGAGACCACCAGGTACCTCCGATGTCCCACGGGGGACACCGGGTACCTCCGATGTCCCACGAGCCGATGTCCCACGAGGACCAACTGGTAAATCCGATGTCCCCCGGGGGACACCGTGTAACTCCGATGTCCCACGGGCCGATGTCCCACGGGGACCACCGGGTAACTCCGATGTCCCACGGGGGACACCGGGTAACTCCGATGTCCCACGGGGGGGGCAGAGGTAACTCGTGCCCAGACCTCCCCCTGCAAGGTCGGGTTACCCGATGCCCCCCGGGGGACACCTGGTAACTCCGATGTCCCACGGGCCGATGTCCCACAGGGACCACCGGGTAACTCCGATGTCGATCCCACGGGGGACACCGGGTAACTCCGATGTCCCACGGGCCGATGTCCCGGCATGGGGACCACCGGGTCCCACGGGGGACACCGGGTTTTTTCCGACGTCCCGCGGGGGGCCACCGGTAACCATGCCCAGACCCCCTCCTGCAAGGTCGAGTTACCCGATGTCCCCCGAGGGACACCAGGTAACTCCGATGTCCCACGGGCCGATGTCCCACGGGGACCACCGGGTGACTCCGATGTCCCATGGGGGTCCACCGGTTTACCGAACAATGCCGAATGCGCCCTGTGCAAGGCCGACTTACCCGACGCCCCTCGGGGGACACCGGGTAAGTGGGGTGTGTGGAGCGCACCCCCCGCTTACCGGATGTCCCCCAGGGGACACCGGGTAACTCATGCCCGACACCCCCCCGTGCAAGGTCGAGTTACCCGATGCCCCCCCCCTCGCTACCGGGTAACCCGTGCCTGACACCCCCCCTGCAAGGTCGATTTACCCGATGTCCCCGGGGGGACACCGGTTAAGTGGGGGGTGTGGAGAGTGCACCCCCCAGTTAATTACCCGATGCTCCCAAGGGGGGGCGCCAAGTAACTCACGCCCGTCGTCGTCGTCGTCGTCGCTGGTCTTCGGTCGTGGGCTGGAAAAATTTGAGGCTTCGGATCCGTTTTGGGGCCCCCCGGGCCTCGAGGGCTCCAAAACCTTGGGGAAAGGCAGCAACAAAACTTACCATTCCAGGTCGAGGCGTCGTCGTCGTCGTCGTCGTCGTCGTCGTCACCGTCTGCGGGTCGAGAGCTCCGGGATGGGGCCGGAAGCTCCAGGTTGAAGTCGGGAACTCCTGGACGGGGTCGAATGCTCTGGGGTCAAAACAGGGGCCGGGAAATTTGGTCCAAGTGTCGCTGCCTGGTCCTGCAGGGGATGGGTAAGGGTGCGTTTACACCTCCTCCTCGTCGTCGTCGTCGTCGCCGAGGAGGAGGAGGAGGGCCCCAGGAGTTATGTACCAGCGGCCGCTGGGTTGGTACATAATTCCTGGGGCCTTCTTGGGGCCCTCTTGGAGCCCTCTTGGGGCCCTCTTGGGGCCCTCTCGGGGCCCTCTTGGGGCCAACCAGTGGCCCGAGAAGGCTCCGAGAGGGCCCTCAGAGGACCCTCAAAGAGCCCCAAGAGGGTTCAGGAGTTATGGACCAGCGGCCGCTGGGTTGGTACATAATTCCCGGGGCCTTCTTTGGGCCCTTTTGGAGCCCTCTTGGGGCCCTCTTGGGGCCCTCTTGGGGCCCTCTTGGGGCCCTCGTGGGGCCCTCTTAGGGCCCTCTTGGAGCCATCTCATGGGCCAACCAGGGGCCCAAGAGGGCTCCAAGAGGGCCCTCAGAGTGCCCCAAGAGGGCCCCAGGAGTTGTGTACCAGCGACCGCTGGGTTGGTACATAACTCCTGGGGCCTTCTTGGGGCCCTCTTGGGGCCCTCTTGGGGCCTTCTTTTGGCCCCCTTGGGGACATCTTATGGACGGTGACAACAACGACGACGATGACGACGACGACGACGGCAACAGTTCGCGCCGCGGAACCCCATTTCAGCCACGCGCCCAGTTCGGCCCCCTCACCCTCCTGCGTGCGCTTCCTCCACAGGTCAGCTATCCTGTCTCTCTCTCTCTCTCTCTCCCTCTCTCTCTCCCTCTGTCTCTCTCTCTCTCGCTTTCTCTCTCTCTCTCTCTCTCTTTCTCCCTGTTCTCTCCTCTCTCCCCCGCAGATGGCGCCAGAGCGCTGCGCGCCCCTTCCGCGCATGTCGTTGCGCACGGGCGGGGTCCGCGCTGGCTTGCCTTTCTGTGCGCCTCCGCAGTCCGAGCGTGGTCGGTCCTTCCCGCTTGGTGGATCCGCTGCAGCGTGGGCCTCGCAGTCAACCCGCACAGTGAGGAAGGGCAGCCTTCTCGAGGGTACACACTGCATCCTTACCCCCTCGGCCCATCCCTGGCCGCGTTGGCTCACCGCGCCCCGCCCGCAAGGTGTCGGCATGGCCTTCCGAGGCCCTTGCATCCTCACCGCGCATCCTTCTTCTACGGGTTGACTGTATTTGAGGATCGGGGCTCTGTTCCCGTCGTTCCGAGTTGCCATCTCGCCTCAGCGCGGGCCACTGTTCTGAATCCGAGTTTGTCCTCATCGTTGTCGCCCCCCGCCTTCCCCCCCCCGCTTCCCCTCCCTCCGCCTTCCCCTCGTCCTCCAGGTCTTCCCGCGCGTTCCATTTCAGTTCCTACTTCTGTTCTGTTCGTCCTCGTCCTCTTCATCCCTCATCCTCCTCGTTTTCCTCGTGCTCATCCTCCTGCCCATCTGCCACCCCCTCCTTCAATGTACGCCTTTATGTACGCTTCGCACCGTAGTACGGTTGCGCATATCGCGATGGGGTCGTTTTTGGAGTTCCATGTCTGCTATAACGCGCGTCTTCGGACAGAGCAGAAATTAGCGAACATGGCACGTATGTTGTGAACTGTTTTGCCAGACTTCGGCTGTGTTTTGTTTTCCGCTTGGGCAGGGATATACAGAGAAACAGGTGTAGGAAAACGGACACAGCAAAAGGCACACAAAACGAAAAACAACGTTCAGGTTCAGCTTTGAGGTCCGCCTCGAGCTCCGGATCCTCAAGGAGTGCACACGTTCTGACATCCGGGCGCAGCGTGGTTGTTCGTTGGTTGTGGAGCCGCGCTTTTTAAACAGGCCAGGCCGTCGGAGGTCTAGGGTCTTGGGCTCGACTGGCTCCAACAGCTTATCCTTACGTCGGGCACGTCCCTGAACAGGGGGGGTATTCGAGAATTGGACAAAATAGTCTGGCGACGATTTGTTGACTGTTTTGTGTCTTTGAGCATGTTTTGACTATCTTCGTTTTTCGTCCAAAGTCTGCGTGTAGGGGGACATGCCCGACCTAAGTCTAGGGTTCGTCCGGCTCCAACAGCTTATCCTCCAAATGCGCGCGCGACTTCCTGGTCGTGCGGCAAGTTGGCGCCGCATTGGCGCGGTGGCGTTGCCAGCTCCGGCGTTCAAGGTTAAGCGCCGCCAGTTGCCCAGACTCGGCCGTGGTCGAGAACCTGCGCCATCAGAGTTCCGCGTCGTTCAAGCTTGAATTGTCCACTCGGTGTCAGAAACCAGTGCCCGCGACATCGCTGCGCGTGCCAGCCTCAGTGGGTTGGCGCTCGCGCGAGCCGTTTTCCAGGCCGTGCGTGTGCTGCGTGCTGGCCCGTCTCTGGGGCGAGCAGGTGTCGTCGCGCTTACCTTTTCCTCCTCCCCTTTCCGGAGGAGGAGGAGAAGGAGGAGGAGGAGGAGGAGGATGAGGAGGAGGAGGTTTTGATTTTGCCCTCCTCATTTGTTTTGTTTCACCATCGCTGTGGGCGCTCTGACGCCTTCTGCTTGCTCCTGATCTTACCTTAAGCCCAGGGGAGCCGCGAGACCTCGTCTGGAGGCCCCAGTGGAGCTCGTTTGCGGTGTATTCGAGGCCATTTGGGCAGTCTGAAAGCCATCTGGGTCGTTTTGGAACTCTCTTCGACGTGTTGGAGTCCAGCTTGAGCCAGCTTCGATGGCATCTTGGAGGGCACGGGGTGTAGATTTGGAGGCTCTGGAGGCCCCAGGAGTGCGTTTGCGAGCCTTGTACACCCCACCTCGACCGAGATGTTGGACCCTGGTGGAGGGGGCCACTGACCACGCCCCCGCCCGCCCCCTCCTCATCCTCCTCCTGCTCCTCCTCCTCCTCCTCCTCCCCCTGCTCCTGCATCTCTCCTCCTCCTTCTCCTCCACCCCCCGCCCCCTCCTCCCCCTTCTCCCCCTCCTCCCCATTAACCCTCCTCCTCCTCCTTCTCCTCAACTTCCTCCACCCTCCCACCTCCTCCTCCTCCTCCTCCTCCTCCTCCTCCTCCTCCTCCTCCTCCCCCCTCCCTGCACGCGCCCCGTTCCCCCCCGCCTCCTGCGCCCCGCCAGGCGGCGCCCCCGGAGGGCGGCGGCGGCGACGCGGCGCTGAGGCGCATGGAGGAGCGCATGCGCGCGGCGCTGCAGGCGCTGCGGGAGCGGCGGGCCGACCTGGAGGCCGCCCGCGGGCGGCGAGGGGGGGGGGGGGTCGGCGCGGGCGAGGAGGAGGAGGAGGAAGGAGGAGATTTAAGAGGAGGAGGAGGATGAGGAGGAGGAGAGGAGAGAGGAGAGAAGGAGAGGAGGACGAAGAGGAGGAGATGAGAGGAGGCGGAGGAGAGGAGGATGAGGAGGAGGAGGAGGAGGAGAGGAGGAGAGGAGGCGGAGGAGGAGGAGGAACAGGAGGACGAAGAGGAGGAGATGAGAGGAGGAGGAGGAGAGGAGGAGGAGGAGGAGGAGGAGAGAGGAGGAGGAGCGAGGAGCGAGGAGCGAGGAGGAGGAGGAGGAGGAAGACGAAGAGGAGGAGGAGGGGAAGGAGGACGAAGAGGAGGAGGAGGAGGAGGAGCAGGAGGAGGAGGAGGAGAAGGAGGAGCAGGAGGAGGAGGCGGAGGAGGAGGAGGCCCAATCTCGCGAGACCGTACAGAGCTGACAGTACCGACCGTTCGCTGGCAGGTGAGGCGCTCTTGGCGGCGCTAGTGGCATCAGGAACCCGCTGCGCCAGTCCGCGTGCGAGGAAGCGGAGGAGGATGGTCATCAGTTTGGGCGACGCGAAGCATTGCGACTTCCAGTTGTTGTGCGGGGGGCTGGTTCGGGGAAGGACACGCTGGAGGGATCCCCCCCGGGGCGTGGCGTGACCCCTCGTGGCCCCTTGGCCCTTGGGAGGTCCTTCGTGCGGAGGGAGGGCCGCATGCGACCTCTCTCTTGGCGTGGCGCTGCCCGCGGTGGTGCCTAGGCATGGCCGTGCCTTGGCGGAGCGGGGCATCCAGAGGGGCGCGTGGGCAGAAACGCGCAAGGTTGGCAGCCGTTCAGGGTCTGAAGTGCACCCTGCAGGGGGATCACATCGCACGGAGGCTGGAGTGTGAAACAGAAACGATGTTCTGGCGGTGGAGAAGTGTTGGATGTGTGGGGGGAGGAATTTGGGAAGGTCACGTCGCGCCCCCGCACCTTGGAGACATGCGTCCGAAGCGCGCAGCTAGTGCAAGCATCGTATCGTGTAGCCTGGCCCAGGTGACACGGCCAGAAAGCGCCCGTCTGGGTGCCGATTCGCGCGTGGCATACGCGTGTGGGGCGTTGCCGCACCAGCGGTTCAAACGTACACGTTCGGAGTTCAGCGCGGATGGATTGGACGTGCGCTGGACCCCCTCGCTTGATATGTCATGTGCTGGCAGTGCATGGGGCGGGGGCGCGGATGAAGCGTGAGCTCCCCTCTGCTGCCGGCGACGCGCCGTCCCTCGAGGACGGAGCCCCGAGACAAACCCACACTCAACACTCATATGGGGAATCATTCCCGAGGATTTTTCGACATCGCTTACAATCCTGGTCTGCCTGTCCGGCGGTGTGCGATGCACGTCTTGCTCGACCAATCGCCATGTGTGTGCCCCGCGCGACGCACTTCCAGGGCAATTTCGGCGTAGGAGACGATCTCGTCCTCCGAGCTGGTAGACGACCGCTGAATATACGAGCTTGAGACGCCCGCGGCTGATCCTGTCGATAGCCGATTGCGCGGGCTCACTGAGGGCCCCTGGTGCTCGTGGCGCAACTTCTCGGAGGAGGCACGGGTACCGATGCCGAAGCCCTTGCCTCGTTCTCGTTTTTTAAAACTCCTCGTATCTGCCCCTGTCGCCACGACTGGATTCGCCGCGACATGTCGATCAGAGCGCACCGTGGTAGAGGTCGATTGGGTTAGGGGCATCGGCAACTTCTGGTTTCCCCAGAAGAACGTACCGTGCGGGCCCCATTTGGGCTGCGGCAGTGCCAGGCGCACTGGGCGGCAGCAAACACTGCAGAGTCAGCGCAGAGCCAGCGTCGTGCTTCAGGGCAGCAAAGTCGAGGATCGGAGCCCCTTTTCCGAGGGTTTGCAGTTCCGTGGGCCTGTGGCTGTTGGGGAAGACTCGAGGCCGAAGGGGGCCCAAAACCAGGGGCCCCAAGGCCCAAGGTCGGACGGGCGACCCTGGGTACGGGCGGCGGCAGCAAGCTTGGCGGCAAGCCGGGGATCAGTCACTGGCTCGCGTAGTTCGCAACAAGTCCCGAGGAGTTATCCTCGGCCAAGAATTCCGGCGGCATTTCCGACCCCCCCCTCCAGCGGAAGAGGGAAGGAGGAGGGCAGGAATGATGGATGGGGGAGCGATGAATGGAGGACCACACAAAAAGAGGAAGAGGAGGAGGAGGAGGAGGAGGAGGAGGAGGAGGAGGAGGAGGAGGAAGAGGAGGCTGGGGAGGAGGGGGATGAGAAAGTCATGCCCCAATCCACCGCCTCAATGCGGCCCCCACCACGTCGCCGAGGCCACAAGGAGGAGGAGGAGGAGGAGCAGGAGGAGGAGGAGGAGGAATAGCAGGAGCAGGAGGAGGTCGAGTAGGAGGAGGAGGAGGACGAAGAGGACGAGGCAGGACGAGGAAGGACGGCGAAGCACGTGAGGCGCCAGCTTGCTGGCCAAGCGATTTTTTTTTTTGCTGCTCCTTGCTGGGTGCGGCCGAGGCCGTGAATGCAGAGCTCGCCGCGGAACGTGAGAAGAACGAGGCGCTCGCGGAGCAACTGCAGGCGCGGTCCCGCTCGTGGGGGCGAGGGTCTCCGCCGGGCCCATTGGTCAATGGGCCCAAGCCTGCTGGTTTGCTCGACGTTCACGTTTTTTGTTGTTTCTCTCTTTTGTTTTGTTCTCTCTCTCTCTCTCTCTCTTTTCCTCTCCTTTCGAAGTGGTAACTTGTTTCGTGCTCTGCCCGATCGCGTTGGCGATGCTAATGTTGATGAAGCCAATGCTGTTCCTAATGGTGATGATGGTCGTTTTTTTTTGTTTTTTTTTTGGTTGTGTTCTTTTTTTGTCGTGACTCTCTCTCTCTCGCTTTCTTTTGATCTCTATCCCTCTCTCTTTCTCCCTCTGTTCCTCTCAATAGTTGATCGTCCCACTCTGTGTCGATCTCTCGCTCTTTCTCGCTCCTGCTGCATATCGTTCGATCCATGCCAGCATCTGTTCCAAAGAACTAATTCCTTCTGCGTGCATATCCTCATCACTTCGGTTCCTCCGCCAAGTGGGGGGTGGGTGGGTAGCGGTTGCTCTCTTTCGCTCGTACTCTGCATACACAAGAGGGATTGGGGACATGGTGAAGGCATTTTTTTTTTTTTTTTTTTTTTTTTTTCTCTCTCTCTCTCTCTCTCTTTCTCTTTCTATCTCTCTCCCTCTCTCTTTTCCCCTCTCCCACGCTCTCCACGCAACGCATGGTGGGCAATGAGAGCCGGCAGACGTCGTTACCCCTCACAGTTACACCCCGCGCTCTCCAGGGAGAAGGCAGAGGAGGACGTCGGAGGGGGGGGGGAGTCTTTCCTTCTGTCCCCCCTTTCCATTTCTTTCTCTTTGTCTTGCTTTCTTTCTCTCTCTCTCTCTCTCTCCCCTTATCTCTCTATCTCTCTCTCTCTCTCTCTTCCCCTCTCCCTCCCGCTCTGTTTTCCACGTGCGCAGCGCAGCGGGTGAGCTGGGAGGAGAAAGTGGCTGCTGGTTTTGCGCGGTGCGTGCTTGCGGTGGCGGGAACCACAGTTTGAACACCACTCGCCCTCAATACGACAAGCTCTTGCAAATGTTTGACACGAGTGTGCGTGGCGCTATGGCGAGAGCCACTTGTTCAAAAGCAAACACCCTCAATCCATGAAGCTCTTGCAGTCTTTACAACGAATGTGCGCGGCGCTAAGGAGAGAGCCACATTTTGAAAACCACCCGCCCTCAATTTGTGAAATTGTTGAATTGTTGCCAATGTTTAAGCTTCAGGGCCATCGTTGGTGAGGAAGTCTCAGGCGAAACGCCTGGCCTGCCCTTTCTAACCGGCCTAGGGGTGCGGCAGGGAGGAGTCATCGGCAACACCCCAACATACTTATACTATATGTGCGTCGCCCCCCCAGGGGCGACGCGCGCACCGAGAAATCTTATAGTATATGCGTCGTGGCGGGCGTTTTCTGGCCACACCGCTCGGGAAACGATATACTACAAGATGGGTATACTATATGTTCGGGTCGGACGCGCGCCTCCAAGAAGGACATATAGTATTAGTATGTCCATGTGCGTCCCACGTAAGGAAAAGGCATGGAGGGAGGAGGAAGGAGGCCCTCGCTCCTCCCCGTCGCCCCCCTGCTCACGCCTGGCGTGGAAAGCGGAGCATCCCGAGCGGCTGCCCTGGCTCGGGGCGGCGACCGAGGCCGAGAGGGACACCAACGCGCTCCTGGACGTCCGCTCCGCGGCGCTGCAGGCGACGCGCGCCGCCGGGGGCCGCCGGGCCCGAGCCCGAGCGTGCCCCGTCGGGGCTCCTCCTCCTCCTCCTCCTCCTCCTCCGCCAGCTGCTCCTCCTCCTCCTCCTCCTCCTCCTCCTCCTCCTCCTCCTCCTCCTCCTCCTCCTCCTCCTCAAGCGACGGGGGGCAGTGGAAACGGGAGTCCGTCAGAGCGCCGGATCCTGCGGGAGCCGGCGGGGCCAGCATCGCATGGGCCCCGGCTTGAGCGCAGGGTCCTGCGGGATCCCGCGGGATCTTGCGGGATCCTACGAGGCCTGATTGGCCTGGGTTTGTATTGGCCGGGGTCGGCCCATTCAGCGCCGGGGCCCGGGCCCGACAGCCCGCCCGCGCCCAGTGTCTGTGCGGGCTCGCTCTCGGGGGCTCCTCGCCGATCTGGCTGCCATGCCTCGCCGACTTCGGCTCGATGTCCCCTCCCCCCTCCCCCCGCGCCAGCGCCTCCCTGGCGTTGCCCCTCGCCACTGCCCACGCCGAGGGCTCAGGCCCCCCTCGCGTGGTGCCAAAAAGAGCACGGCGAGCGGTCTTCGCTTCTTTGGGGGCCTCTGGGGCGGCCCCCTCTGGGCCCCGGGGGTCTCAGAAGTCGACTCGGGATCAAGCGCCGGTCTGGGGGATCGAGGATGGAGGAGGCGGAGGAGGAGGAGGAGGAGGCGGAGGAGGAGGAGGAGGAGGCGGAGGCGGAGGCGGAGGAGCAGGAGGAGAGGGGAGGCAAGGATGAGCGAGGAGGAGGAGGAGGAGGCGAGGGATATGAGGATTATGGAGGAGGAAGGAGGAGGAGGAGGAAGAGGGCGAGAAGAGGACCAGGAAAGGAGAAAGGAGGAGGAGGAAGGCGAGGAGCGGACGGAGTGGGAGGGAGGACCGGACGGAGGGGGCCAGGCCGGAGGCGGCCGGGCAGGCGGAGGCTTCAGGCGAGCTGGGTCGAAGCACGGAGGCGGATGAGGAGGCGGCGGAGAGTTAGGAGGAGGCATGGCGGTAGGCGGAGGAGGAGGAGGACGGAGGACCGAGGACGGAGGGGCGCAGAGAGTGCTATGGGCCCCAGACGCTCGTGCCCCCCTGGGCCTGCGGGGGTCGGGGGTCGGCGGCCGCGGCGGCGCGCACCTGGGGCTGGTCAGGGTGAAGCCCGGGAGGGCTTCGGGGAGTGGTCTCTCCAGGGAGCGCGAATGGGCCGACCAGTTTAGGATAACATTGCACCAGAGGAAAAAGTAGTGTAGGATGAAAGTTCTAGTTCAGGGTAAAGAGTTTTAAGTTTAGGAGAAAGTTGCACCAGTTTAGGATACAAAGTTTTAGTTCAGGATACAATTGCACCAGAGAAGAAAACCCAATCAGTGGATGGTCTTCGCTGAGGAGATCGGCCGGGAACCCGGGAGCCCAGGAACCCAGGATCGGCGCGGAACCAATGACCCGGAACCGGGGAACCCAGAACCGGGAACCCGGGAACCCAGCCTGCTACCAACATCGGCGGGAAACATCCGCCAAATCTTACACTTTCCGCTAGGACCCCTTCAGTGTAAGCATGCACTGATTGGGGAACGACCAAACGAGGGAGGATGGCGAGGGGAAGCCGGGGACGCGCGATCGTCCGCTACGCCACCACCAGCCCATCCAGCAACGGTGCCCAGAGGAGCCGATGGCAGAAGGGACGTAGAGAAGCACGCGGTGAGCCAAGGAGGCCACTGCTCGAGGCTCGCTGGGGTCGTTCAGTAGGGGGCTCCCTATGGGGCCCCTCCCGGGAGCCCCGGAGAGCCCTCCTGGAGGAGCTCGTCGGGCGACCCGACTCCGTGCCCCTTGGCGTAAGTCGGGCTTGTCCCTCTACAGGAGGAATATTCAAAAATAGTTTAAAAATGGGGACCATTTTTTTGTCAGTTTTTCAATTTGTTTTGAATATTTCGGTGCGAGCGGGACGTCAGGTCTTGGCGGAGGCGGAGGAGGCGGAGGAGGAGGAGGAGGAGGAGGAGGAGGAGGAGGAGGAGGAGGAGGAGGATAAGGAGGAGGAGGAGGAGGAGGAGGAGGGGAAGGAGGAGGAGCAGGAGGAGGACCTCCCCATCCTGCTTTCTCCCCCGTCCTACCTATGGTAGTGGTTGTGGATTTGGCCCATCACCTCCTTCATTTGCAAGGTCCTCCGCGATCCAGCGCGACAGATCCATCAAAGGACTAATGGCAACGGCAGGATGCGTGTGTGTGCGGGTTTCGGAGCGTTCCGGGAGAACTCGGTGCGAGACGCTCGATTCGTGTTCATCCTCACCTTCCTGCTCCTCATTCTCCTTCTCCTCCTCCTTCTGCTCCTCCTCTTCCTCCATCGTGCCATCTCCTCTTGCCCTGTTGCCGAGCCAAGGGCTTCCGCGGTATTGCTTCCACATCGGCTCCCGTCTAGTCCTCTCGAGTGTGGCGCCGTGCGGGCAAGTATCCCTTGTTTTCTCCTAGGCACATGGCGAGCGCCACGAATTGACAGAGGATGAGGAGGAGGAGGAGGATGAGAAGGAGGCGGATGTATCGCGTGAAGAGGACGGAAGATGAGGAAGAGGGGGGGCCCAGAAGACATGAGCTTGTGTTTTGCTACACTTGCTGCCGCCACATCGTCACGAGTGCTTCGAGCGTCTGCAACGCACTCCCCGACCTCCGACATGTGCATTTTCTCATGCTGTGGGCCCTGGAGCTCTCGATCCAGTGCTTGGGATGCGTCTTTCGCCGTCGGCTGTCTCCAAGGCTTCTGGCTGGGGGGCGTGCCACACATTGCTCCAACTGAACTGCGGCAGGCACATCATCGGTCGAGGGGGCGGTTCCCGTCGTGGAGAGGAGCGCCTGCACGCTTTGGTGAGGAGCAAGGCCTCTCTCGGACGTGTGCATCCTTTAACGGACCATGTGTCCCATCTTGGAGCATCTTGGCCACTCGAGGGAGAGCTGGACGCACGGCGCGCACACGTGCAAGGGGGAATGGGCGCCCGAGCGATGGCAAGGGGCGGGGGGCGCCTGGGTTGGGAGCGGGGTGTTGCAGTACAGTCGGGGCCCTGAAGAAGGAACCCTTTTCGTTGGGGAGGGGCTCCGTGTTCCTTAATTGTTTTGCAGCTTGCCTTGGATTTCCTTTATGTTTCCGATACGAAATCGAAGTTCAACTTATGGAAACTAGGGGCCTCGTTCCTTATTTAGGGTTCCTTAGGTAAACGCCTCGACTGTATCGTGGATGCGTCCCAGGTCTGGGATGGGGTCCCTCCTCCTCCGCCTCCGCCCTCCGCCGCCTTCGTGCTCCGGGGGCTCGGCGCGCTGCCGGTCCGCACGGGGCGTGCGCCGCCGCCCTCCGAGCAGGCGCGGCTGCCCTGAGCGCCAGTGGCGGCTCCGCGGGGGCGGCGCGGCGGGGCGGCGGCGGCGTGCGGCGCCGCCGGCGCGGCCGATCGCGCGCGGGGCGTCGCTGAGCGCGTCGGCGGCTGTGGCGCATAGTGGGCCCTGGAAACGACAGGGCCGTTTTTTTACCGGTTCCGTTTTGCCGGTTTTTTGCTCGTTTTTTTACGGGTTCCGTCGCCGGTTTTTGACCGGTTCCGGCTCCGGTTCCAATCCTGGAGCCGTTTTTTTGCCGTTTCTGGTCGCCGTTTTTTTGCCGTTGTCATTTTCAAGGGACATTTTTTTGGAAACGGTGAAAAAACGGCCCTGCCGTTTCCGGGGCCCACAAAGGGCGTCGCTGAGCGCGTCGGCGGCTGTGGCGTAGCAGGACGGGCACCGCGCCGCCTCTGGCCGAGGCCGAGGAGGCGGCGGGGCCTCTCAACCGCCCCTCGCGCCTTCTCTGGGAGGTTGGCTCTGTGTGTCTTCTGGAAGGGCTCGGCGTCGAGAGCCTCGGCGCCAAAGTTACCACACGCATCGTCATGCCATGGGCTTGGATGGCTCCTGCTGCCAGGGCAGACGCCGATCGCCTGTGCGATGCGGGCGGCGGCTCTGGCGCGCCAAGGGGGGGTTGCTGGCCGCGTGACGCTGCAGCAGTTGCCACCGCTTTCGGCGCGGAGGCCCCGCCTGCGAGCCCTGCAGGCGCGTCGCAACCTGGCGCGCAGATGAGGCGACGCGCCCTGCGCAGCTGGGCCTGGTCGGCGGTGCTGCCGCGGACCCGCGCGGCCGAGCAGGCCGCTCGCGCGACGCCGGCCTCCTGCCCCTGGCGGAGGCCCCCCGCTGCGCTGCGGCTGGCCGCCCGCCGTCGGCGGGCGTCGCGGGGGCGGACCGCGAGGCGCTGGCACCGCGCGCGGTTCGTCGCGCGCGTGTCGCTCCAGATCCTGGCTGGCATCCGCGGGGCCTGCCCGCGGAGCGCCTGCCCGAGGCCTGCCCGCCGTGCGCCCTGGGGGGGAGTGCTGCCTCCAGCGCCCGACAGAGGACTGCGGCGCCACGGGGGCCCACCGGGAGGCGGCGCGGGCAGCGCGGAGCCCAACGCCGGGCGCGCTCTTGCTGTGGGCCTCGCGGGGCACGGAGGACGTGGACGAGCCAGCTGCCAAGGTTGCGGCTGGCGGGCGTGGCCGCGTCGACCTTCGCGCGCGCGCGCGCGCTCGCCGCGCGGCAGTGGTTGTGGGCGGCCCGCCCGTGCGCGCCCTCCATGGCAGCGGCCTACGAGCCACCCGCCGCTTCCTTCCTCCCTCCTCCCGTTCCTCCTCCCCCTCCCCTCCCTCCCTCCTCCGCCCCCCCTATTCTCCTGTCCCCCCTTCTCCCCCTCCCCCCCCCTTCCCGTTCCTCCTCCTCCCTCCCCCCCCTCCCCCCCCCCTCCTCCCCCCCCCTCCCCCCCGTTCCTCCTCCTCCCCCCCTCCTCCGCCCCAGCCTGCGGGCGTGCCTACAGTACAGGCCCCTCTTTGCCCACGGGCCCACCGGCTGCTGCGCCCACTGGCCCTCCCTGCCCGATGGCAGGCGCGCCTATACAGCCCCGCTGTGCCCTATGGGCACTCCTCGCCGCGCCTGCAGGCGCGCCGACAGGCCCTCCCTGCCCATGGGCACGCCCTCCCTCCTCCCCTGTCCCGCCTGCAGGCTCGAGGCGTTGCCACCCACGCTAGCCCTGATCACCGGGAGGCACTTCGAGCACCGAGAAAGTGTCGATTGCCGGAGGGTTTTCGCGTGTCGGGCTCCGCGAGGCGACAGCCGTTCGACACTTCGCCAGCGTGTCGGGCAGACGCTGCTTCGATTTTTCTGGGTTCTCGAACTTATTGTTGGAATGTGGTCCTTCAGTGCGATGGGGACAGCGTAACTACAGGCGCGCCCACAGGCCCTCCCTGCCTACGGGCGCACCCAAAGGCCTTTCTTGCCTACAGGCGTTCGCATTCCTCGATGGCGGTGCCTGCAGGCGCTGTCGGCAGGGCGTCTTCTAGCTGCGGCGGCCCGTCTCCCTCTGCCTTTCTCTCTCTCTCTCTCTGTCTGTCTCCGTCTCTTTCTATGTACCTCTTCGTCTTCCTCTTCCTCCTCCTCCTCCTCCTTCTCCCCCGCCTCCTCCTCCTCCTCCTTCCTCCTTCTTCTCCTCCTCCTCCTCCTCCTCCTCCTCCTCCTCCTCTACCTCCTCCCCCCCGTTGTGTTGTCCCTTCTCTCCGTCTCTCTTCACCCTCCCCCCTGATCCCCTCCGAGAATGAGGAGTGGTATAATGGAGGGAGGGTAAGGATGAAGCGATGATAATCAGGACGAGCAAGAGCATGGACGAGGAGGGCTGGATGAACAGGGAGGAGGGAGGGAGAGGATGGACAGAGAGGGGACCCCGCAACAGGTAGGAGGCTCACTTCGCCAACTTGGAGACCCGTTTGGGGAACCCTCCCCTCCGTCCACCCGTCCCTGTCCCCGTCTCCCCGTGCTCTGTTCTCCTCCTTCACATGGCATCGCTCGGACGTGTGCATTTTTTCTCGGCGGCGACCGTCGAGGAGAAATGTGGCTCATCTTGCGAAACAAGTGCACGCACGAAGTCGAGCATTGCACGGGGCGTGCGTGTCCGAGCGATGGCGAGCGCATCGTCGTTCTTCATTTCCCTCCTCCCCTCCCCGACGTCGCTCGGCGCCTCCGTCCGAAGGCGCAGCTGAACGAGGCCCAGGCGGAGCTCGAGAGGGCGCAGGGCAACGGTCGCCTGGGGCTCGACAACATCCTCAACATCTTGCTGTTTTTCCAGCCTCCTCATCGTGGCCATCTCGCTCCTCCCCTCCCCGTGGTGCTCCCCCTCCTCATGCCCGGTCCCCGGGCTTCTCCCGCTGTCAGCATGCCGCTGCCCCTCCCCTCAACGGAAGGAGGAAGGAGGAGGGGAGGCAGAGGAGGATGAGGAGGGGGAGGGCAGCGTGAAGGACGGTGGAGGACGTGGAGAACGAGGCGGGCGAGGTTCGGCGGCGGCCCTGGGGGAAGTGAGACGGGGCGGGCCTTCTCAGAAGGCTGGGAGGTCCCGGCCTCCTGAGAAGTTTTCTAAGCCGTCGCCGAAAACACCAGGGACTTTTCGGAATGGCTGGAGGGGCTTCTGAGATGCCCCAGTTTTCCGAGAAGGCCTTCCCCTTCTCACTTCCTCCCCTTGCTCGCCGCCGAAAGGTGGAATGGGATGGTGTAGGCCTCCTTGATGGGGTCGGAGTAGATGGGGTCGGAGGATCGCGCCGCATCGCCGATGCATCAGCGCTGCGGCTCGATGTGGAGCCCGATTTCCTTCGCGCCGACGGCGCCGAGGCATCGCCGATGCACCGCCGATGCCTCGGCGATGCGGCGCGATCCTCCGACCCCATCTGCTCCGACCCCGTCTAGGATGCCTGTAGGTGGCGAGGGCCAAAGATCGGGGGAGCGTAAGACCCGGGTTTGCCAGGACTCGGGTTCGCCATCGTTTTTTGACGACCGCGACTCGGATTCCGGCGAGTAGGAGTTTCGTGGGATGTCTGCAGCGGGAGGCCTCGTCAAAATGCAGGCTCGGCCTCGTCATTTCTTTGACGACCTCCTTGGGGATTTCCGAGTCCCCTGTACCCGGATCTTACGCCCCCCTGAAACGAGGGGGCCGTCGTCGAAGCGCCCGGGCGCGCCCCGCGGCTGGCGCGGCCGGCGCTCTCGCGCGGCCTCCCCGCCCTGCGCTTCGTGGACAGGCACGGGGCGGCACGCGGCCGCCCGCGCGCGGCAGGGCCTTTCTCCGGCGTGCGGGGGGGCGTGGCCCCTGTCGTGGCAGGTCCCTCGGCTACAGACTGAAGTCGGGCCTGCCCCTCTGCAGTCCACGGGCGAAGAACGGTATAAGATACACTTTTTCGCCGTCGGGGGCACCTGCCCCAGGGCGGCTGGAAGGTTTGTACCCCTACGGTGCCACCGTAGGGGTAGAAACTTTCCAGCCGCCCTGGGGCAGGTGCCCCCGACGGCGAAAAAAGTTTATTCTATACCGCTCTATTAATATAGGCTTAAGTCGGGCCTGCCCCTCTACAGGAGGAGTATCCAAAAATAGTAAAACATAGTCTGGGGACCATTTTTGTACTAAACTATGTTTGACCATTTTCTGGTATTTTTTTGGACTATGTTTTGACTTGTCGTCCAAAAGCCGCCTGTCGGGGACATGCCCGACCGAACTATTAGGCGGAGGGGCGCTGCTCCTCCTCGAGGGTGCCGCGCCCCGGAGGTCAGCTTTTCTGCATCGGCGCTGGCCTTGTCGCGGTCCGTCCTCGGCGCAGGCTGGGCTCATCTGGCTCAGTGCGGCTTGGTTGATGGGCCTGTTTTCCACCACCACCACCACCATAAGTAGGAGGGGGAGGGGGTCCTCCTCCTCCTCCTCCTCCTCCTCCTCCTCCTCCTCCTCCTCCTCCTCCTCCTCCTCCTTCCCCCCTTCCAACTTATGGTTGTGGTGGTGGAAAACAGGCCCATCATTGGTTCCCTTTCATCCGGCCGAATCCAGCTCCACTCCCGGGCCCAATCCGGCCTGATGCGGTGAAATGGCATCTCCATCGGGCTCCATCGCCCTCACAAGCGCCCTCACGAACATGTCCGAGGAGTGGCCTCCGAGCCGAGGGTTGGTCGCTGGTGCTCCGGGACTAGTGGGGTCGGGTCATCGTCGCGCGCACGAGCCGCTTGACCTGGCGCCAGTCTGCGATGTGGCCGGGGAGGCCGTGAAGAATCGGCTCCCGCGAGAGGTATCTTGGCAGGCGTGCAAGCTACGCCTTCGACTCGTGTCCCCGCGTTTTTTTTGTTGTTCCCTCCCCCTTCTCCGTTTCTCTCTCTCTCTCTCTCTCTGTCTCTCTCGAATAACGAAAAACTGCATTACCATACAACTTATGGCGCTCCGCGCGGCTGGAGCGTCTTGGCGGCACCTCTGGCGCCGCCCCTGGCGCGCTCTGCGCGCCAGCAAGGGGGGTCCAGTGCAGATCCGAGAAATCTGCGCGGAACGCCAAAAGTCTATGTTCATGCAATTTGTCTCATTCTTTTTCTGCTCCCTCTCTCTCTCTCTCTTACCTCTCTTTTTTTGTTTCTCTCTCTCTCTCATTCTCCCTCGCTCTCTTCTTAGTAGTGGGCCGCAGACCAAACCGCGTAAGAAGGATGGGCATCCTTCCCAAGTGTACGCTTGCATCCTTGCCCCTTCCGCCCATCCTTGGCCACTTTCGCTGTCCGCGCCCCGCCCGAAGAACTTCGAAATGGCCTTCCGAGGCCCTTGCATCCTTATCGTGCGTACTTCTGGTACGGGTTGACAGTATGCGACCTCTCGGGTCGCCCCAAGATGGCTGTGTGTGTGCCACTCTGTGGGGCGGGGGTCAGTTGCTTGCCTGTCAGGGGACGGGTCCGTGATCGGCATCCTTCAAGGGGCAACCCCCATTTCCCGAGCGAAGCACTCTGACAGCATAATGTTTGTTTGGCATTGTATCTCGTAGGCTCCAGTGACCATGGCTGCTTCTGAGGTGGTGTTTCAGGACCCGTGCGGCGATTCGCCTCCTGTGCCTGTCTCTTTCCCGCTGCCCCTCAGAGCGCTCCGCTCGCGAATCGCCTTTGCCGGATCTACGGTGACTGGTGGAGGTGCGAGATGCTTTTCTCTCCATCCTTCTCTCTCTCTCTCTCCTTCTCTCTCTCTCTCCATCCTTTCTCTTCATCCTTCTCTCTCTCTCACTCTCCATCATTCTCACTTCTTTCTCCCTCTCTCTCACTCTCTCTCACTGTCTCCCACTCTCTCCTCCTTTTTTTTTTTTTTTTTCCTCTCTCTCTCTCTCACACTCTCCCACTGTACACCTACAGGCGCGCGTCCTGTGGACGCTTAGAAAGGGGGCGGGGGGTGGTTCGAACCCGGGAGGGGGGGGGGCGCGCTCCCGAATGGCAGGGGTGGGGGGTTCGAAGGGGCCCCTGGGCGTGGGGGGGGGATTCGAACCAGGAGGGGACCCCCCGCTCTCGATTTAGGGGAGGGGTTTCGTCCTCCCCCCCCGTCTCTCCAGCGGGGCGGCTCTAACCAACGGGTTGCAATGAGAGGGGGGGTCGAACCAGTTGGGCAGGTCCCCCCTGCAACCGACGTCGACGATGGAAATGACGACGACGACGACGACGACGACGACGACGACGACGACGACGACGACGACGACGACGACGACGACGACGACGACGACGACGACGACGACGACGACGACGACGACGACGACGACGGCGGCGGCGGCGGCGGCGGCGGCGGCGGCGGCGGCGGCGGCGGCGGCGGCGGCGGCGACTTTTTCCATCGGCGTAGGGGGCTGTGATGTTACGAACAACGACTGCGTTCTGAAACTCGAATCGGCGTTGACGGTAGTTTACAGTAAAAGACATCTGGAACCCGCCGACAGGAGAAGATTCCCTTAGTGCGTGTGGCGTGCGGGCACGGTGCTCTCTCTAGCGCGTGCTAAAGGGCGAAGGCGTGCCTCACGGCGACAGGTTTTACCCAAACAAAAACTCGGCGGCCTCTAAATCGGCTTCCTCGTCTGGGAGACCCTGGGGTTCCATTTCACCGCCTTCGAAATCAAAACTCGGAGGGGGGGGAGGTTCAGGAGGAGGAGCAGGGATAGTACTGGCTAAAATCTCGCCAGGAACGAACCGAATCACTTGGCTAGCGCATCTAGCCACACGCTCAGTTCCTCCTCCAGCCACCCAGGAGTGGCGATCCCCAGGTGGTGCGTGATGCTCCCCTCGGCCTTGATGGCGGTGACGAGGTCGGCTCGAAGGTCCCACCGCGGCGCCACGGCCAGAAGTTTCGTCAGCTTCTCGTCGTTTCATTTCTCGATCTTGATCACGGTGACCTGTTCCTCGAGGAGCTCCTCTTTCGTGATGACTGCGGCCGTGTCCTCGCTCGGCTGGGCTTTGTCCAAGTAGTCGTGAAGGTTCTTCTTGTTGCCGCCGCCGATGTCGAGCGTGCACAGGGTCTCGACTAGGCATGGGGCCAGGCTCCTGTTGGACTGCCCACGGTCTTCAGCTCCAGCTTCTGCTCGGCGGTTCCGTGGCGCAGCTTGTCGAGGTGGGCCTTGTAGTTCTCGAGCCCCGAGGTCAGGGCTGTGACGAGCTTGTGGTCGCGGGCCAGTGTGAACGTGTCCAGCGTGGCGGCGCTCAGGATCCGAAGGCGTTGGGCGTTCATCAGCGTCATCTTCAAGATCGCAGTGAGCAGCTCGGTCAGGTTCTTGTCGCGGCTGGTCCAGGTCTTCTGCGTGTGCTGTCCTTGCTTGCGTCGGCCTCCTCGTCGAGTTTTCCTTTTGCGGTCTCCCCCCTGGTCGTCGTCGTCCACCTGCATCCCGTTCTTGGTCTCCTTGTCCTTCTGGAGTGCGGCCCCGTCCTTCCCCTTCTGCTTGGCCTGCGGCCTGTCGGAGCTGGCGGCGTTGCCAGAGTTCCCAGACGCCTGGGAGGATCCCATCGGGAGGCGCCAACTTGCTCTGGTCGATGCTGGTTGCGCGGTTGCCTCCGTCATCGCGTCGTCGAAGAGGTACGGGTACGACTGGAGTGGTTGTCACCAGTTGTGGGGCGTTGGCCAGGTGAGATGCGGCGGCGGCGACGACGACGACGACGACGACGATGACGGGGGATGGCCTATCCCTGCAACTGACGACGGCAGGCTCCAGCGACGGCGCTGGCGCCCGCGGTCAGCGCCGAAGAAGACGACGCCGATGACGAGGACGAAGACGATGGCGACGAGGACGACGACGATGATGACGACCACGTTGATGACGACGACGACGACGACAGTGACGGTGACGCCGACGAAAACGACGACGACTGCGACGGCGACGGCGACGGCGACGGCGACGAACACGACCACGATGACGAGGACGATGACGATTACGAGGACGACGACGACGACTAAAACCCGAACGCCCACGCCCACGCCGACGCCGACGCCGTCGTCGTGCAATCAAGTAAAATAGAGTAGTTTACGGGGCCGTGCCGCAGAGAGCACCGCGCGGCTCGGGTGCCGCTTCGGGGGGGGCTGCCCGGGGCCTTTCGGCGCCGCCCTCGCGCGAACGCCCTGCGCCGGGGCAGCGGCGCGGGCCCCGCCCCGGGGACGGCGCCAGGGAGCCCCGCGACGGCCTCCGGGGAGCAACAGGCGGGGGGGCAGCCCGGCCTCGGTGCGAAGACACCGCGGGGCGCTTCGGTGGCCTCCCGTGGCGCCGAGGCGGGGTGCAGCAGAGCCGCTTCTCGCGGGCCGCTCGGCCTTCGGAGCAGTTGCCTCCTCCGCCCGCCTGCTCTCTCGCCGCCGTCGGCGCTTCTCTCTCTCTCTCTCTCTTCTCTTCCCCCTCTGTCTGTGCGCGGAATTCAGCACGTTGTGCTTCACAACGAGTCTCCAAAAAGAGTTCCCGCCCTCCCCCTTGCAGTCAACCCGCATATCACCACCCACCAAACCACCCCAACCCTACCCGAAGGCCTCAATTTGCCCTCCATTTCCAGTGTGGGGGGGGGGTCCGGGAACATCGAAAAAACACACATGGAGCCCATGCCCCCCCAACCCGAAATTCCGGCCTTCGGGTTGGGTTGGGGTGGCCTGGTAGGTAGTCAGCATAGTAAGGATGAGCCACTTTCCAAGATTACCCTGCGTTTTTCCAGTGCGATCGTTTTCGTTTTTCCAGTGCGTGTTTCCAAGAGGTCGCCTCTCGGAAGCAGCATCTCAACGCGTGATTATGACATGCCTCCCTCGGTGCGAAACAGAAAACGTAAACAAGAAACACTTTCCAAGATTACCCTTGCATCCTTCCCCTTCGGCCCACCCGTGGCCGCTCTCGCTGGCCGCGCCCCGCTCGCAGAGTGTCGCCGTGGCCTCCCAGAGGGCCGTGCGTCCTTCCTGTCTGGGGTTGACGGCATGGGGCCCACGGCCGCCCTCCGCCTGCCCCCTGCCCCTTCGTCTCGCCCTCTCCTCGGGGCCCTGCCCCCCCCCCCAACCTCCTCCTCCTCCTCCTCCTCCTCCTTCCACCTCCTCCTCCTCCTCCTCCTCCTCCTCCTCCTCCTCCTCCCCTTCTCCTGCTCCTCCTCCCCCCCCGCCCACCCCCCCCCCCGCCCCCCCTCCTCCTCCTCCTCTCCTCCCTCCTCCTCCTCCTCCTCCTCCTCCTCTCTCCTCCTCCTCCTCCTCCCCTCCTCCTCCTCCTCCTCCTCCTCCTCCTCCTCCTCCTCCTCCTCCTCCTCCTCCTCCTCCTCCTCCTCCTCCTCCTCCTCCTCCTCCTCCTCCTCCTCCCCCCCGTGCCCACTCCGAGGCTCCGGCGCGGGCGCGGAGCAGGAGCTGGCGCTGGCGCGGCAGAAGAACGTGGAGCTCCGGATGCAGATCAGCGAGGAGGCGTGGCGTGGGCTCCTCCGATGGGGGGCGGTCGGGGCTGGACAGACCTCCTACCCTGACACGTCGATTAGTGAATTGTCCGTTTTCGGTTCTCGGGAGGGCGCCGCGGCCGTTATTTTCCAGGCTTGCGCCCGCCAGGTTTGGGCCCGAGGTCGTTTTCACTAAACCACGTTTTACTAAAGGGAGGTCTGTCCATCCCCGAGGCGGCTTGTGGAGGAGGGTGATCTCAGAGAGCGGCGGCTGGTCCTCAGGGTTACGTCGCTCCCGTCGCACTTACGGACCACATCCCCCAACAAAAATTCGGGCTCCCAGAAGAATGTCGAAACAGTGTCGATGTAGTGTCGGACGAGAGTCTCCCAGGGCCCGACACGTGAAAACCATCGAGTTTCGATATATTGTTTGGTGCTCGAAATACTTTTTCGTGATCAAGGCTAAAGTAGGTTGGAACATCGTAACCTCAGGGGGTCCCTCGTCGCCACGGCTGGACGCGTCTCGGGAAACTGGTGCGCTTGGGGCCCCAGGGCCCATTTTCAGCTTCTGCTGTCTCAGCTCGTCCTGTTCCGATGCTCCTCTCCCTCCCCGTCCTTCGGGACAGGACCATGATGACGACACGATGCCCGCAACCGCCACCGAGGGCTCTTTTGAGGGTACCGCTGCTCCTCTTTTTCCCCGTCCTTCGCTGGCAGGGAAGATATCAATATCCACGGCCTCGCAGGCGGGACCCCTGGGCCGCGACCCCGTGCATGCGGGGCGTTTGTTTCGCAGATGTTGCGCGCGGAACGTATCCATGCGACCGCGTATCCACGGGATCGCACCCCGGAATCCAGACGGCGACGGCGTGGAAATGTTCGCCGGTCGTGAGTCTTTCGGGGATAAGGACATCCGCCACCGTACTATTACGTTCGCAACCGCGACCGTGTACAGTTGAGTGGACAATATTTGGTGTAGGTTCCCGCGAATGCGTGACGTCCAGCAAAGTATCGAAGGGCTTTCGACACATCCCGCAGCCGTACCTGGTATGCGGGTCGGAGTTCTCAGGGATACTTTTTGAGGGTCTCTTCGGAGCCCTCTCGGGGGCCTCTTGGGGGCAGTTGTGGGGCCTCTTGGGAGCCTCTTCGGGACCTCTTGGGGGCCTCCAGGGGGCCTCTTGGGGGCCCCCTGAGGGCCTCTTGGGGGCCTCCTGGGGCCTCTTGGGGGGTGCCCCTTAGGGGCCGAGGGCTCGAAGTGTTAGCTCGGGGTCCCCATCTGGGCCCCCTCTTGGAGCCGTCTTTGGGCCCTCTTGGGCCGTCTTGGGCGCCCGTGGGCCGTCGTGGAGCCTTCTTGGGCCCCCCTCGGGGGGCCTTTGGGGCCGTCCTGGGGTGATTTTGGGGGCCTCCCTGGCCGTCTTGGAGCGTCGGGAAGCCGAAAAGGCGAGAACGCCAAACACTCCCCAAAGGGAAACGATGATTTTTGCTTCCCGCTCCCATCACCGCTCCCCCCAATCCCCCCCCCTCATCCTTGTATCACACCGTCCTTCAGAGTGAGTTGAAGATGGTTTATGTGATAAGGAACGTGAGGAGGAGGAGGAGGTGGACGACCATGAGGAGGATATTGAAAAGCTTCTCCTCCTCCTGATCCCATCGCTTTCCCTCATCGTCCTCAGCCTCCTTCCTCACTCCCCCTCCTCGAGGATGGGTGGGGGGGTGATTGGAGGAGGATGAAGAAGAAGAAGAAGGATGCGATGATAAGGAGGGGGAGCAGTATGAGGTTCAGACGCCGCTCTTTCTCGTACTTCTCCTGATCCAATTCGTCAGCCGACTTCTTCTCCTCCTCCTACTCCTCCTCCTCCTCCTCGTGACCATTCCGCTCATTATCCCTCTACTACTCGTGGTCAACATCATATCTGTTGTGGAAGGATGTGGATGAGGAGCAGAGGGGGGAGGGGCGGGCGATTGGAGGAGGGTCAGAAGGATGCGTGGGACGATGATGAAGATGACCATGAAGGTTTGAGAGATCAGTTCTCATCATCTCTCTGACCGAGGAATAACAAACATGTACATGCACATACATGTACGGCCCCCTTCTTCTACCTTTCGTATGACAGGGGGGGGAGGAGGGTGATGATGAGGACGAGGAGGAGAAGTGTTCTGAGGAGCAGAAGGAGGAGGAGGAGCGATGCGGCAGGAGAAGGCTTAATACAATGAGCAAGATGAGGAGAAGGAGGAGGAGGTCGAGGCGCCACTCATCGTCATCCTTCCCCTCCTGCTCGCATCACCCCTCCTCCTGCTCACTAGAGGAGAACGATGGTAATGAACCACTCCTCATCATTCTCCTTCTCTGGCTCACCATCCTCCCGCTCCCATCACCGCTCCCCTCATCCCCCTCTTCATCCTCGTATCACACTTCCGCCCTTCAGAGTGAGGTGAAGATGGTTTATGTGATCAGGACGACGAGGAGGAGGAGGTGGACGACCATGAGGAGGACATTGAGGAGGCCTTCCTCCTCCTCCTCCTGATCCCATCGCTTTCCCTCATCGTCCTCAGCCTCCTTCTAGCACTCCCCCTCCTCGACGATGGGTGGGCTGCTTCTCATACACTCATACACTTCCTGATCCCATTCACCAGCCCGCTCCTACTTGTTCTCCTTCTCGTCCTCGTGACCCTCCCGCTCATCTTCCCTCTACTACTCGTGGTCAACACCATATCTCTTGTGAGAGGGTGTGGCTGAGGGGGAGAAGGTGAAGGGGAGGGCGATTGGATGAGGGTCAGAAGGATGCGTGGGACGATGATCAAGATGATCATGGAGTTTTGAGAGATCAGTATTTTTTTATCATCTCTCTAGTCGAAGGAGGGCAACAACGGCATGCACATACATGTTCGGCCTTTCTTCTACCTTTCGTATGACAGGAGGAGGAGGAGGAGGGTGATGATGAGGACGAAGAGGAGACCTGTTATGAGGAGCAGACGGAGGAGGAGGAGCGATGCGGCAGGAGGATGCTTAATATAATGAGCAAGATGAGGTGGAGGAGGAGGTCGAGGAGCCACTCATCGTCATCCTTCCCCTCGTGATCGCATCGCACCTCTCCTGCTCACTAGAGGAGAACGATGGTAATGAACCACTCCTCATCATTCTCCTTCTCTGGGTCACCATCCTCCCGCTTCCAGCATCGCTCCCCCCATCCCCCTCTTCATTCTCGTATCACACCTCCTTGCTTCAGAGTGAGGTGAAGATGGTTTATGTGATACGGAAGAAAAGGAGGAGGTGGACGAACATGCGGCGGGCATTGAGGAGGTCCTCCTCCTCCTCCTGATCTTATCGCTTCCCCACATCCTCCTGAGCCTCCTTCTATCAGACCCCCTCCTCGAGGATGGGTGGGGGCGGGGTGATTGGAGGAGGATGAAGAAGGATGCGATGACTCGGAGGCGGAACATAATGAAGAGGTCGACACGCCATTGCTTTTCATACATATCCCGATCCCATTCATCTGCCGGCTCCTCCTCCTCCTCCTCCTCCTCCTCCTCCTCCCTCTCCTCCTCCCCCTCCTCGTCCTCGTGATCATCCCGCTCATCTTTCCTCTACCACTAGTGGTCAACACCATATCTCTTGTCGGAGGATGTGGATGAGGAGGAGAGGGTGGAGGGGAGGGCGACTGGAGGAGGGTCAGAAGTATGCGCAAGATGGCCGTGAAGTTTTGAGAGATCAGTCCTCGTCATCTCTCCGGTCGAAAAACGGTGTGCACATAAACGTTCGGAGTTCTGCGCGGAGTTCCTGGATCTGCGCGGGGCTTCCCTCCACGGCGTGCGGAGCGCGCCAGCGGCGGCGCCAGAAGCACCGCCAGGGGGGCCCAGCGGAACGCGGAGCTCGGACAGTTTAAGTTGAAGCAGTTGTTTCGTTCCTTATTCCCTCCTCCCTCCCTCCTCCCTCCTCCCTCCCTCCCTTCCCTCCTCCCCTCCCTCCCCCTCCCTCCCTCCTCCCCTCCCTCCCCCTCCTCCCTCCCTCCCTCCTCCTCCCTCCTCCTCCTCCTCCCTCCTCCCTCCTCCCTCCTCCCTCCTCCCCTCCCCCTCCCTCCTCCCTCCTCCCTCCTCCCTCCTCCCTCCTCCCTCCTCGAGGGTGGATGCGCAGGAGGCCCCTCCGCCCGCACCCCCCCCGCTCTCCCCCCGCCGAGCCCGAGAGGTGGGCGTGGCGCGCGGGGAGCGCGACAAGGCCCGCAAGGAGCTCGCGGAGCTCAAGAGGCCGGGCGGGCGGCCCAGGGAGGGGGGTCCTCCATCGGGGCTCAAGGGACAGGGACGGGGGTCGATGCAAACGGGGGTCAAGGATGGGGAGGGGGTGTGGGGGGTTCGAAATCTGCCGCGTGCAAGATGTTGCAAATACGGTTTCCGTGGGGCTCCCTAGCGGCAGGCTCGTGTTGACCGACGCCCGCGACAGACAGCAGGCAAGTTTCCGTGGTACCGGAGTATCCACGATTTGAGACTGCTTTTTGATGTAGCTCACTCCTCTTCTTCCTCCTTCTCCTCCTCCTCCTTCTCCTCCTCCTCCTTCTCCTGGTTCGTGTTTCCTGTCGGCTTGAGGTCCCATCGCGTGCAGCCTCCCCCGCCTCCTCCTCCTCCTCCTCCTCCTCCTCCTCCTCCGCCCCTCCCCATCTAGGTGTGATTTATTTCCTTTGGCAAGTCGCGCACGCGTCCCCGAGGTTATAAGCCTCGTCTTCTCTCTATGTGAAACAAAACTGTTAGCGTTTCCGCCTCTAACAGTCCGCCTGTCTCACAGTACTTCTGATGCGCTCGCTTGTGCATTCTGCTGTGGTTGGGGTGCCTGATCTCTTTCCTCCAACATCTTGTGTGATGAGCAGTGGGAACATCTTGAGCAGCAAGACAGGGCCTACCCGAATGAGGGATGATTAAGACAACCATCATTGCAATACGCATGGGTAGAAGGATTGGGATGGGGACGAACGCCATGAGTATGACGAGCCGTCGGATGATGATTATCATCGTGCTGATGATTGGTGGGGGAGTTGGTCGAGGAGGAGGAGGAGGAGGAGGGCGATGAGAGAACAGTGAGGGAGGAACCAGGGAAATGAGTGTGGGAGGCGGATCTGGAGCGAGTGGGGGGAGGAGAAGGAGCAAAACGACGAGGACGAGATTTTGAAGGTTTGGCGGGGAGCATAATGAGGAGGAGGAACAATGAGGAGGAGGAGGAACAGGAAGCATAGTAATCATCGTACTACAAGTAGTAATAGCACTACTACTAATAACATGTACTAGTACTAGTAGTAAGAGAATACGGTTAAGAATTTGAAGACGAGGATGATGATGATGATGCTGATGATGATGATGATGATGATGATGATGATGATGATGATGATGATGATGATGATGAGGAGGAGGAGGAGGAGGAGGAGGAGGAGGAGGAGGATATGGAGGAGGAGGAGGAGAAGGAGGAGGAGGAGGAGGATGAGGAGGAGGAGGCGGAGGAACAGGAGGAGCAGTAGGAGGAGGAGAAGGAGAATGAGGAGGAGGAGGAGGAACAGGGAGGAGGAGGAGGAGGAGGAGGAGGAGGAGGAGGAGGAACAGGGAGGCGGAGGAGGAACAGAGGAGGATGAACAGGAGGAGGAGGAGGAGGAGGAGGAGGGCAGGAGGAGGAGGAGGAGAGGAGGCAGATGAGGAGGAGGAGGAGGGAGGAGGAGGAGGAGGAGGCGGAGGAGGGCTCGAGACCCACGAAGCTTGGGGGTTGGGTGGGGGGCCTCGAAACACTGACGTCGCAGGGCTCGCGATGTGTGTCCACCCCCCCCCCCCCCTCCCGTGGGAGGAGCGGGGAGCGCGAGTGGGAGGCGGGGAGGGTGGAGAGGGGAAGGGAGGAGCGAGCAGAGAGGGGCAGCCCGAGGCCGAGGCGGAAGAGCGGGGTGCGAGTGCGGCGCGGGCGGGACCGACCGCCGCCAGCCATTTTGGCTGACGCCTGCCGCGCGGGCCCGGAGGGGCGCCCCCCCCCCGGCCCGCCACGGGCGCGCGGCGCGCGGCGGCACGGCCCGCCGCGCGGGCCGCGGCGGCACCCTTCGGCGCGAGCGCCGCGTGCGCCAGCGGCGGGGAGGCGGCGGAGCCGCGGCCGAGCCGGACTCGCCGTCGGCGGGCGGAGAGGTCCGAGGGAGGGGAGGGGTCGACTAGACGCAAGAGTGACCTTTCGCCGGAGTGGCCTCTATTGGTGCGGGCACAGGTGGGTCCCTAGGTGGCTGAAAACGAAGCAGGAGCAGCGGCTTGCGCGTCCAGGGTTGGGTCCCCCCGCGGCCCCCCAAAAGCCGCGCACCCAAGGCCACTCTTACCCAGGGTCGCTCTTGCGTGTGGCCGAAGGGGGGGGCAGCGGCGGGCGGCGACTGACGGCGGGAGGCGGACGACTTCGACAGACGGCGGAGGGCGGCGGCGGCGGAGAGGAGTCGGCAGAACCGCAGCCAGCGGAGAGGTCCGAGGGGTGGGGGGGGGTCGGGCGTCGCGGGATGAGGGGGCGATGGGTGGGGGTGCGAGGGGAGGTGCACCGTTTATTCCCGAGAGGGGTCCTCAGTGGGGCCCCCTGGGGCACAACCGCGGCCCCAAATTTACCAGTGGCTTCGCCCCCTACTTCTCGCCCCATCGAGCACGGCCCGAGGGGGGGGCAGCGACGGACGAGGGCTGCGTTGCTGACGACGGCGACGGACGACGGACGACGGCGGCGCGCGGCCGCGGCGGCCGCGCCACCAGCGGGCGGGCGGCCGACTGCCTCCCCGCGGGGGAGCGCCCCTCCTGGGCCCTCGGTGGCCTCCTTGCGCTCCCGCGGATCCCTGGTGCCCACTGGGGCGGGGGCCGATCCCCCCTTCTGGCGCGCGGGGGGATCCCAGGGGACCTCGTCCCCGAGCTTCCCGTGAGCTGGGGCGCGGGGGCAGGCCCAGATTGACCGAGCGCCTCTCCTCGGCTGATGGCCCGCGTCCTCTCGGCATCGGCTTGGTTCGGGTAAGGCCAGGAGCCTCTGGTGGGGAGCGAGCCGGCCGGGAAGGGGGGTACGAGCGTGTGGGGGGGGGTCAGAGGGGCGGCGACCCTCCTTTCGCCGCTGCCCTGCCCGCCCCTCCCCCTTTTATCTCCTCCTCCTCCTCCGCCTCTTCCGCCTCTTCCGCCTCTTCTTCTCCTCCTCCTCCTCCTCCTCCTCCTCCTCCTCCCTCCTCCTCCTCCTCCTCTCCCTCCTCTCTCCTCCTCCTCCTCCTCCTCCTCCTCTCCTCCTCCTCCTCCTCCTCCTCCTCCTCCTCTCCCTCCTTCTCCTCCTCCTCCTCCTCATTCTCCTTCTCCTCCTCCTCCTCCTTTCAAAGTTGTGGTCGCGTTCCGATGCCGTGGGCAACTCCGCGCGGCGCCCTGGCGCATTGCGCGGTTCGGTATCATGTGATCGTTGCTGCCTGTTGCAAGCATTCCCTAGGTCTCTCCGCTGATCTTTTGTAATGGGCCCAATGGGTGCAGGCCCTGGCCCTTCCAGCCCTCGCAGGTCTCAGACTCGTCGCCACACCATCGACAATCATCACTCCATCTCTCCCAACGGTGTCGTTTTTCATCCCTTGTTTCGCAAATCTTCGCAGGCCTCTGCCCCCCCTTTTGTAGACCAGATCTTGGTTGCCTTGGGGGCGCATGGGCCAGCCTGCGGCGGCATGGGGCTGAACTTCGGCCAGATGCAAGACGCGACAGGTGTCGGCCTGAGCATGGGTGTGCTGTTCATTGTACATGGCTTTGTCCGCGCAATATTGGAGGGAAGGTGTTTGCCCGTCGTGATGCACTTGTTCTTTGTGCTCTGTCTTAGCAGGGTTTGTCCCGTGTTGCTGGGCACGCTGGCTCATGCCCGCCGCCTTGGCACGAGTCGGGCCGACGAGCAGTGGGAGGGCGGTGGTCCCGTGGAAGCTCAGGGTAGCCGGTGCTTGGAAGTAAGCTCGGTGGATGACTTCTGATTTCCGGACGCGCTTCAGGTGGTCGAAAGACTCACGATCCGCGACTTCGGCGGATCGGGCTGGCCATCGCCGTCTGCCCTTCCTTCTCGCCGCTGGTGTCGTGCCCGCATCTTTTCGGGCCTTTGTGCGGCGAGGAGCAGACTCAGATGGTCCCTCGGGGCGAACTTCGCGCCTTCGAGCTGGCCGCGAGCTTCTCCGAGGAAGCCGTCGTCTTCATCGCCGACTGCGAGGATGTATGTCGCGGGTGGTGGGCAGGTGTTGCCCAGCTTCATCAGGTGCCAACGCGGACATGTGGCGCGCTATCGGTCGTATTGTTTTCAGCAGAACCCCAAATCTCCGGAAGTGGTTGTCCTCGAGGTTGCCGCCTATTTGACGGTCTTGGAAGTTCTTCAACGTGGCGTTCCGTCATGGCTTGTCCAATGGAACGAGGCTGAGGTTCCCCTTGCCGAGGCAGCTGCACTTCGGGAGCGGCGACCAATCGAGGACCGACATCGCGTGGGGAGAGTAGGCAGGGGAGGGGCGCTGCTTGTCCGACGGCGCTTCTTGCGGGCATCTCTGTGCGTCATCTGAGCTGAGCAGGTGAGCAAACAAGCGACATGACAGGGAAACGGCCCGCCAACGTTTGAAAAACAGGAAACCGAGGCTGTTTGCCTTCGCCTCCCTTCTCTTCCTCGTCCTCCTCTTGCCCCTCGTGTTAGTGCACGCTCCACGGCCCCGCGCGTCCTGGCCGAGGATGGGCGCTTCGGTCGTGTCTGCGGACCATCCGCATCCAATTGGCTAGAACAATGCTTGCCTCTTGATGCTGTTGGCGGCAAGGTGCTTGGGCTGTCTCGAAGACGACCCTTGCATATCACTGGAGGTTGAGCCTGCCCCTTGCATGCTTTGCGTTTTCATGATCACAATGTAATTCGGTTATGCAAGACGCGGGTTCTTCGGCCAGGCCAATTTCAGGGGCCTTGGGGAGCCCTGAGAGGAAACGATTCTAGGAAGCGCCGCGAGCACCTTGATAGGACATTCGCGGCTTACTTGTCAAAGAGTCGTTGTCTGTGCGTCACGCCTTCCATCTAACACCTGTGATTGCGGTATTCCTTGTTCTTTTTCGCCCTCGCCCTCCCCCCTCCTGCTCTGACCCTTCCCCCCCTCTGATTTCCCTTTGCCCTGCCCCTTCCTCCTCGTCCTCCCTCTTCTTACTCTGCCATTCCGTCCTCTCCTTGCCCTCCCCCTTCCCCCCCGTGCCCTTCCGTTCCCCTCCCTCTGGCCCCTCCCTCTGACCCTCCGCCCTCCTCTCCTCGGGCCCCTCTCTCTCCCTTCCTCTCGAGCCCCTGCCTCCTCCCTACGCGCGCGCGCGGGAACGCGCGCCCGAGCGGCACCCTCTGCGCCCACTGGGCCCCTATTGGACCTGCACCCGGCCCCGCTCCCACCACCCTCGCGCAGCACGGGGGGCCCAGCCGCGGCCACGCGGGCCCTCCTGGAGCCCCAGCTGGCGTCGTCGTCGTCGTCGTCGTCGTCGTCGTCGTCGTCGTCCTCGGCGTCGTCAGCGTCGTCGTCGGCGTCGTCCTCGTCGTCGTCCTCGTCGTCGGCAACCTCGTCGTCGTCGTCCTCGTCCTCGTCGTCGTCCGCGTCGTCGTCGTCGCCGTCGTCGTCGTCGTCGTCGTCGTCGGCGTCGTTGGCGTCGGCGTCGTCGGCGTCGCCGTCGGCGTCGTTGGCGTCGTCCGGGGCCGCGGCGTCGCGGAGGCGGCCGCGGCCTGCGCGGGGCGACGCCGAGGGCGCCCCCCTCTGCGCATGGCGCCGCGGAGGTGGCCCCCCCCCGTCCTCCCCGTCCTCCTCCCTCCTCCTCCCTCCTCCTCCCTCCTCCTCCTCCTCCCTCCTCCGCGCTCCTCCTCCCTCCTCCTCCCTCCTCCTCCACCCTCCTCCACCCTCCACCCTCCTCCACCCTCCTCCTCCCTCCTCCTCCTCCTCCCTCCTCCTCCTCCCCCTCCTCCTCAGCGGCTCTGTCCCCATAGCGGGGGTTGGGGCGGCGCATCCTCAGAGCCGCGCAGCCGCTCCGGGCCATGTCGGGAGCGTCGGCACGAACGAGGACCAGTTTGACAAGGAGGTCGAGCTGTACGTGTCGTACAGCTTGGCGAGTGGAGAGCCAGACCACCTTGGTTCAGTGTTGGGGCGTTTGTTCAAGGGCCTCGAGTCGGGGTCGCAGCAGGCGCTCAAGTGGAAGCTCATTGTCTGCCAGGATGGCGCAGCAGCACAAGAGCAGCAAGGAGGTGATGAACAACGCGCTCCAGTGCCCTTGGACGCAGGGCATCGCCTTGAAGGAGCAATGCGATGCAGCAGTATTGTCAAGTCGGCGTACCAGGCTTCGAAGTCCTCCACGCAGCAAGGTGCCCATGATGGTGGCCGAGCTCAGCCGTTGGGACTCAGCGAAAAGGCAGTCAGCCCGCGAGGCCTTCGAGCTGGAGAAGGCAAAGAGGGCCAAGAAGCGGGAGGAGGACCACGTGTCGGAGGCGGGCCAGGCCCTGGACCAAGCCAGCCTGCAGCGGGGACCTCAAAGGGAGGAGACGAGCATCGCACAGAAGAAGCACGACAAGCAGAAGAACAGGAAGGACAACAAGACTTGGGTCCCGAAGTGGAAGCGCCTGCGGCCCAGCTGCAAGTACGTGAACTTCGGATGGCGCCAGAAGTGCGGCCAGTGCACTGCAGTGGCGCCCCTGGAGACGCTGAGCTTGCAGGAGCAGCAGGCGGTGGAGAACCTCACGGACCCGCAGGAGATTCAGCGCCACCAGGATTTCAAGGACTGGGAAGTGAAGTGGCTTGCGGGCCTGGTGGAGCAGCAGTCCGACCTGGACAAGATGATCGGGAGTGCTGCCCCGTCCAGCTGACCCCCTACAAGTACTACATTGGCGATGAGGAGTCGGACAGCAGTCGGGGCGAGGAGCTCGAGGACGCCGTCTGCTTCATCAACGCCAAGCAGCTGGTCAACATCCAGGGCATGATCTTTCAGGCGTGGGCTGGAGCGATCAGCGGCAAGACCAAGAAGGGCAAGCAGAAGAGCAAGGGCCCCGTGAACGCCGCGGGCGCTGGAGGCGGTCCTCACCGCATGGCGAAAACCAAGGAGAAAGATTACCTTCCAGAAGGGGTCACACCCAAACAGATAGTGATGCAGTTGCAAAGCCTCTTGGAGAGTGGCGAGTCCCCAGAGGTCAAGGCAGCTGCGCTTCGGGATGTTGCTAGGCGCATGGGAATCTCGATCGAGTGATCTCTTGGCGCGAGCTGAGGGGCGTGGGCCGGCTCGGTGCGTGTGGGTTCCTCTCGCCGCCACGGCCGTCACTGCCTCGTGGTTTGGGGGCGGCTGCCGTTGGGTGGCCGCCGGGTCTCTGGCGTCGCCGCGGCTGGATCCGCCTCGCCTGTCCTGCCGTGCTGGTGTTCTGTCGCCACGCTGGATTCCCCTTGATTCTTGCTGGGCATAGGCTCAGCACGAGGTCTCGGCGTAGGCCCGAGGTCCCTGCGGCTAGGTTGCTTCACGCGGGCCTGTTCTCCTAAGCACTGGCGAAGAGCCGGTCTGAAGTACCTTTTCTGCGCGGGCATTTGTGGAGCTGCTCGTGCTGCGCGCTTTGTTTTCCCTGGGTCTCTGGCGTCGCTCGTCGCTGTGCTGGATTCCCTTTGAATTGTCCGCCGTCGGGCGGTGCTTCGGGGTCTTGTGGTCTCGTCGCCATGCTGGATCCCCCTCGCTTGCGCTGGGCATTGGCCTGGCACTGTGCTTCTCGGCGTAGGTCCGAGATGCGTGCCTAGGTTGCGGGCCTTGCAGACCAAGGCGTTTCATCAGATCCCTCAGATCCCTCCTCCTCCTCCTCTTCCTTCACCCTCCTCCACCCTCCCCCTCCTCTTCCTCCTCCTCCTCCTCCTCCTCCTCCTCCTCCTCCTCCTCCTCCTCTCTTCTCCATTCTCTTCCTCCTCCTCCTCCTCCTTCTCCTCCTCGTCCTCCTCCTCCCTCCTCCTCGTCCTCCTCCTCCTCCTTCCTCCTCCTCCTCCTCTCTTCTCCATTCTCTTCCTCCTCCTCCTCCTCGCTCCTCCTCCTCCTCCTCCTCCTCCTCCTCCTCCTCCTCGGGCCCCCCGCGGGCACGGGGCGCCGAGGGGCGCACCCTCGCCGCGTGCTTCGGCGGCGAGCCCCGGCCGGCGGCGGGCCCAGAGGTCCAGCGCACCGCGAGCAGAGCAGCAGCGCGGAGGCTTGTCCCCGTTTTTTTCGTTACGTCGGGCATGTCCCTCCAGTAGAGGTGCCCCTGCTCTATGTGAGGAGCTGATGTGTGTTGTTTGTTTTTTTTGTGTGTTCTCTCTCTCTCTCTCTTTTTTTTTGTTTCTATATCTCTCTCCCTCACTCTCTCTCACTCTCTCTCACTCTCTCACTGTCTCTCTGTCTCTCTCTCTCTCTCGCTCTCGTTCTTCCAAACGGACGTCGAACGATGTAGACCATCTATAGTTAAGCATACCGCTGAGGTCTGAAGCTTGTGTTTGACTATAGTTTGACATTTCTATGACTTCGATTTCGGCTAGATCCTCATATCGCTTCCGTCTAGAAAATCGAGCTGGGGAGGAAGAGGTCCCTACATATTCCCAGAACTGTACCCAGAACTGTAGATCTACAGTTTGTTGGTCCAAATTCTATGTTTAGCTGTGTGATGTGTAGAAGCACGGTCCGATGTGCCCGTCTACACATTTCTTCTTGAAGTGTAGAATGTGCGTTGTGCTTTTACACGTTTCTATGTGAAGTGTAGCAGCTACGTGTTCTGATGTGCGGCATTGGCTTGCAGAAGACGAACTACACATATCCACGGATGTGTAGAACCTGACTTCTGCTTCTGACCCCCCCGCTATTTTGAGGGCGTGCGAACAACCGAATCTATGACTACTATGCATTCGTCGTCCAAAAGTCCGCCTGTAGGGCATGCCCGACCTACTGTGTTCGGCCTCTTGAAGCGCTCGCTGGGCCCCGGGTCCGTCAAAAACCGGCTCGGGAGGAAGAGCTGGTCCTGGGGAAGGGGTCGAGGAGGAGGAGGAGGAGGAGGAGGAGGAGGAGGAGGAGGAGGAGGAGGAGGAGAAGGAGGAGGAGTTCGGCTTGAGGCTTCCAGGGACGCTGGCCCTGAACAAGTCAGGACATCGAATCTCTGGGCGCGGTGTTCTCGGCGACGCGCCGGGGGGGAAGTCAGAAGGAGCAGGCCTTCTCGGAAGGCGGCGGGGCTCTCCTCAGGAGCCCTCGCGCCTGCTGAGAGGTTTTCAGGGTCTTCGGGGGAAGGCTCAGGAAACAGTTCTCAGAAGGCCGAGGGACTGCCGAGCCTTCTGCTTGGCATCGCTCGGACGTGTGCATTTTTCCTTCGGCGAGGACCATCGAGGAGTAGCCTCGATCATTTGGCGAAACAACCGCGCACAAAACCGAAAGAAACACAGGGAATGGACGTCCGAGCGATGGCGAGTCTGAAAAGGCCCGCCCCCTCTCGCTTCCCCCCCGGGGCTTGCCGCCGACCAGGGGGGGGGGTCCAGCGCCGACCCAAGCCACTCTGGCCCATCGCCGACCCTCGGCATCCGCGGGGGCCTTCGCAGGTGTACGCTTGCTCCTCTGCCCCTGGGCCTCCTCTCCCGGATTGTGGTCCGAGTGGACGGCGTCGGAGGGTCGCGCCGCATCGCCGATGCGTCTGCGGTGCGGCTCGATGTGGGGCCCGGCTTTCCCCACGCCGGCGCGATCCTCCGACCCCATCCTTTGCCAAGCCCAGGTGGGAGGCCTCTGACATCGGCGGGGAGCCCGCCGTGAGTCGGCGGCGAGGCCAGGGGTCCAGGAACAGACGCTGAAAGCAAGTGGCCCCAAAACTAAGAGACAGCGCCGATCTTGAGCACGGACAGTAAGCCCCCCCCAGTTTGTTGGACATCTTCCCACCCCCTGCCACCTCCCCCCTTGTATGAACGAAGCAATGGCATGAGCATCAAAATTCGGAGGTTCGCTCGGAGTCTTTGGATCGTCGCTGGGCCCCCCTGGCAGGGTTTCTGGCGCCGCTCCTGGCGCGCTCCGCGCGTCAGGGAAAGTGGTCCAGCGCCGATCCAAGAGTTCCGCGCGGACCTCTGGGAGTGTATGTCAATGTCTTTGTTTTGTTTTCTCTAAGGGGGGAGCGAGAGGGGGCAGGATGATGTCAATAAGGCTGGGGGCCTTTTTTATATTCGTTTTAAGGATCTAGACTTGTTGTTTCATCTTGGTGCCATTTTTGTCCCCCCGTTTTGGGATTCTCGTTCGCGCTTTTTGGTTCGGTTCAGTTTTGCCTTACAGCTTAATTTGTTTTGGCTGCCTTTCTTTTCTGCCGTCCGAGAACCGAAGCGTTGGACACGGAAAAGAAGTCGCTCCAGTGTTTGCAGCATCAGCAGGCCTTCTCATCAGGCGGCGGGGCTTCTCAGAAGACCTTCCGAGAGGCCGTCTCTGTCTTCGGGGAAGACTCAGAGCACTTCTCAGACGTCCACAGGCCTTCCGAGCCTTCTGAAAAGGCCCGTCTCCTCTGCATTCCCCCCTGGGCTTGCCGCCGAGCAAGGGAAAATGGGTCGAGGTTTTCTGTTCGATGTGCGAGGTTCTCTTTTGTTTTCATCGACTCTCGGTGGCTTTCCAGCCTCGGGATGTCTTCAAGCAGCTGCGCCTCGCCGAGAGTGTTCTCTTGCTTCCGGGTCGTCCCGAACGGCCGCCGGGTTCCCGAGGCATGGCCCGAATAGAGGAAACGAGTCTTGATGTTTTCGCCGTTTTGCCTTCCCAGGCCCCTCCACGGGCCCCAGGGCTGTCAAGCAACGATTCGGGATGAAGGGCTGCCCCTGGAGGAAGGCCCCAGGGTCCAGGACCCGTTTCCCTCATGACCCGCTTCCTTCATGCTAAGAGGTTCTGGGCTCAGGACCTTTGTTGGGGCCCCGCGCGGAGATCTATAAGTGCTTCTCCAGAGAGGCCTCCAGAAGCGCCCACGGAGCGCCCGAAACTTGGGCTCAGACCGGACGCCCTGGACCCCAGTGGGGATTCATTCTGCCCAGCTTCGGCCGGCGTTTCGTATTGAGAGGGGGGGCGGTAAATGTAGATTTTGTTTTTGTCCTCTGTCGGTGCGCCCTCGCGAGTGTATCCGCACCTCTTCGGGGTCCTTTTGGAACCTTTGCTGGGACCTGTTCGGCCCCCCCCTGGGGCCGCCTAGAAGCCCTCCAGAGGCGATGCGGGGACGGGAGCGTTGTCGTTTTAGGGGGCGGTTTTCAACGCCGAGGCGAGAGCGCCTCTCTTGAGTGAAACGCGAAGCTGTATCAAGAGACTTGCTCTTATCCTCTGGCGCGTGGGTCCCCCCCCTCGGGTAACGGTAACGATCGCACGTAGAAGAGGGGGGCCTTGGACCCCACCCACATGCTGGTGATTGCGCATCTATATACATAAATATATACACACACATATAATTATGAATACATATATGCATATTCATATACATCTATATATATATAGATACATATATCTATATCTGTGTATACATATATGGCGATCGCAGCGCCCCCCCGCCCCATGTTGTCCCACCCCCCCGCTCAAGCGTTCACCGTCACCCCCCGCCCGAGGTGACGACCATTACCGGGCATAATGTCAAGCTGCAATATCCGGGGATCCGTCCTGCCTAGATGCTAACCCCCCTCTTCGGCGCACCCGACGTGGGCCGCGGACCCTAACTTTCTAGTTCACCACCCACCAAACCACCCCAACCCAACCCGAAGGTCTCGATTTGCCCTCCATTTCCAGTTGGGGGGGGGGGCGGGGAACGTAGAGAAAACACATGTGGAACCCGTACCCCCCCAACCCGAAATTCGCGTCTTCGGGTTGGGTTGGGGTGGTCTGGTAGGTAGTCACTAGTGGCCTTCGGCTCATCCCTCCACCGCGCCCGTGTCGTCGACCAACCCGAGGCCTCCCGGAGAGCCGCCGTGGGCCTTTTTGTTGCAGGATCTCTGGGGTTCCTCGGGAGCCTCTCTGGAAACACCTGGGCCACGTTTGGGCCTCTTCTCAGCCTGATGGCGTGCGGGTTTGCAAAAAATCATGTTTTTTTGCACGAGCTCTTTTTTTTTTGCAATCCTGTTTTTTTTGCAATCCAGGATTAGTTTTTTTGTTTCTGCAATTCTGGATTTTTTTTGCAATCCTTCGTTCAAGGGAGGCAATCTTGGGGAGAGGGGCTCGAAACCTGCCAGTGCGGGTTCCTCTCCCGGGCCCCCTGGGGCCGCCTCGGGGGGGGGCCCTCGACCGGCGTCGATATTGGCGCCTGGGAGTCGATGAGCTGGCGCCGAGGGAGCGTCGCTCCGCGCCGGGCAGGCTCGACCTGGCGTCGAGGAGCGTCGATTTCGCGGCGCGGCCGGGCGCCGATCCGCAGGAGCTGGCAGCATGGCGTGGGAGGCTCCCGCGAGCTGCCACCGGACCCCCTCCAGGAGCGCTCGGGGGGGACGCCAGGGGTGCCGGGGATGTCTGTGGCCGCGGGCGTCCGCAGGAGTCCCGCGTGCAGGCCCCCGTTCAGGAGGGGAAAAAACACACACAGACACAGTTAGTCGTCGATTCCAGAGACAACACGGGAAAACATGGGAATTGGGCGGGAAGACAAAAAACCCAGCAAATATTGGAAAATATGGGGAATCCTTTTGTTCGTGTGTATTTACTTGTGTGTCTCGGGCCGGACGACAGGGGGGGTTTGGGAAAGGGGGGGTTACGGAATTTGCTGCGTGGAGCTGGTTTCGGCCTCGCCGCCGGGCCCATTCCTCGATACATGAGCGCCTCCCGGCGCCGGGAGGCGCCGGGAAAATCAGCTACGTGAGCTGATTCTCACCCCCCCCCTTTGCTATCCTCCCCCTTTCGCCCGACCCGAGTGTCCCAGGGTCCCTTCATCCGGTGCACGCGGGCGCTCGAGGGCGCCCTCCGTCGGGCAGGGCCGGGGGCCCCGGCGTCGCCTCTCGCGTGCCGGAGCCCTGCGGGGAGCGCCCGGGGGCGCGCCGTGCGGAGCGCGACGGAACGGCCGCCTCGCCCAGCACGTGTTGCCAGCCTGGAGCATGTCCCTATCCCTGTGCTGGGCACCTCCTCATCTAAACCAGTTTGAAACATGTAACATATCCCTCTGCTGGGGCCCAGCAAGATGAGGAGGTGCCCAGCAGCTGGGCACCTCCTCATCTTGCCAGTTTGAAACATATCCCTATCCCCCTATCCCTATGTTTGCTATCATCTTACCTCGATGCCGATCTTGAGAATTCCCCCAGTTTCTGAGGGCCTGTCCCTGAGATTGTCCTCGCTTTTTGCTCGCCCACCTCAGGGATAGGGATACGTTCGAGGCTGGTTATCATCACGATGCCAATATTTGGGATTCCCTTATTTTGTAAGGGCGGATCCCAAAGATTGTCATCGCCTCTTGGCGTGTCAAGCTTAGGGATAGGGGTACGTTCGAGGCCGGTAAAACACGTCCTCCAGAACCGCGGCCCATCGGTCGTGGAAGATCGGTGTCTCTGGAGTCCCATGTCCCAGTCTGCTTTCAGCGCCTTCCTGCTTCAGTGATGGAGCGGCTTCCCCTCTTCCCTCCTCTGACTCTTCAGGGGGCGGGCGGAGACCCGACCTGCTTCCAGCGCAATGTCCCTTGAAAATGGAAACGGCAACAAGAACGGCGACCGGAAACGGCAAAGAAACGGCTCCAGGATTGGAACCGGAGCCGGAACCGGTCAAACAACGGCGACGGAACCGGTAAGAAAACGGCGTCGGAAGCGGCAAACCAAACGGCAGCACGGAACCGGTAAAAAAACGGCCCTGTCGTTTCCAGGGCCCACAAAAGCCCGAGAGCAGCCCCGGGCGGTCTCAGCGCCCAGAGGGGGCCACCAGAAGCCCTGCTGATTCTGGCTGTGGCGGCGAGGACGCTCCCCTGCTGCCCGGAACCTCGATCGTCGAGAGGCCGCGGCGGTCGGGCGGGGCCAGGACCAGGGCCGAAACCGGTAAAGAAACGGCCCTGTCTCAGAGCCCCGAATCATCAGGGGTAACTCGGGTCAGGGCTAACTCAGGTTCGTTTTTCGGGAATCCGAACCCGACTTACCCCGGACCCGAGTTACCCCGGATAATTCGGGCGTCCAGAGCCCCGAATCATCAGGGGTAACTCGGGTCAGGGGTAACTCGGGTTCCTTTTTCGGGAAGCCAAACCCGAGTTACCCCGGACCCGAGTTACCCCGGATAACTCGGGCGCCCAGTTGTCGTTTCCAGGGCCCGCTAAGTCCCAGGGCCCCTTCGCAGGGTCGTCCACGTGGGAGCCGAGGGCCCCTGCCCTCCCTCCGCGGAGCCGCGCGCTCTGGGCCTGCGTCCGCGGCCTGCGCGGGTCTGCGGCACGGGTGCCTCCTCCTCCTCCTCCTCCTCCTCCTCCTCCTCCCTCCTCCTCCCTCCTCCTCCTCCTCCTCCTCCTCCCTCCTCCTTTTTCCCCTCCTCCCTCCCTCCTCCTCCTCTTCCTCCTCCTCCTCCTCCTCCTCCTCCCTCCTCCTCCTCCTCCTCCTCCTCCTCCTCCTCCTCCTCCTCCTCCTCCTCCTCCTTTCCTCCGCGCGGCCGCCCTGGTGCGTTTCCCCCTTCCTGCACGCTGGCCAAGTCGTCTTCTGGTCGCCCCGAATCGCCATCCGCTGGTGTGGACTGCCTCTGCCTCGCCGCTGACGAAAAAGTGTCCCCGGCACGGCCCTGGCTGCCCAAGGTTGGCGCTGACCCAGGTGTGCCCGTCCGCTTTGGAGACCCCCTGGGCCAGGTTTGGTCCGCGGACTTGCGTGAAGCAACCCACGGTGTGACATTCATACGGAAGACGGAGGCCAGAGCCTCTTGGGACGCTTTGGAAGGATCGATCGATGTTGAGTGGCGCGCGCGGTGGCAGACATCGAGGCCCACGCCATCTGGGCAGGAATGTGCTACAGCGGGGAAGGGATCCAGGATCTCGGCGCTGATGGTAAGAGCTGTGCATCTTGAGGTGTTTGGGTGCCCAGATCCTGGCCGGGGTCATCTTTCATATGGGGAGGTGGCTCTGGAGATCGGTGCTGGCGCCAACTTCTAGGCCTCCAACGCTTGCCTCCTGCTCGGGGTAGTCGTTATCAGTCGTCCGCCGTCCTTCTTCGTCAGTAGTAGTCGTTGTCGGGGGGGAGGAGGGCTTGTGGAGAAGGAGAAGGAAAGGGTGGGAGCACCGCTGGGGAGGAGGACGAGGAGGTGGAGGAAGAGGAGGAGGATGGACTGGGGCGGAAGGGGATCCAGGGTGGAGGACGGGGCGGGGGAGGGATGATCAGGCAGGGGGAGGGGGAAGGGGGGGAGAGGGGGCTCCCTTCGACCTCCTCGTCGCGCTCTCTCGCAGGGGCCCGTGTACAGCGCGGAGGGGGTGTCATTGAGGATCGAAGGACCCCTACCCCTAGCAGTATGGTGAAGACGTGGCCTCGCTCTTAGGTCCCAGCAGTCTCTGCATGAGGGATGTTAGATATTGGCGGTCTGGTGTGATGCGCTGGCAGACACAGATGGCCCCTTATTCTTTGTGCTGTGTTGGCCCTCCTCGCTTGGGCTCCCTCCCAGAGGGTCCTGGGGCCCTTCTTGCTGCGGCTCGTGCTGGGCCTCCTCGCTGAGGCTCCCTCCCAGAGGGTCAAGGGGCCCTCGTTGGCTGCCGATGCAGGCGGGGCTCGGCTCGCCGGCGGGCGGCCGCGCGCAGGACGCGCCAGGCTTCGCCCCTGCCCCGCCCCCCCCCGCGGCAAGGTGGCTGTGGGCCGCGCTCCTGGCCGCCCGCGCCGCCGCCGCGGGGCCCGAGCGCGGCGGCGGCCGCCTGGTCCTGGACCTTCACCTGCCGGACCACGTCGTGGCCAGGCTCCCAAGCAGTGGCGAAGCGTCCCGGCTCGCCCAGAGCCCTGCCGGACAGTGTTCTGATATCCTGCTGTGGTTTCCACGAGATGTTCTTAGAACATTTCTGGCAGAGTCTGTCCTTTTTTTTTTTTTTTTTTTGTTTTTTTGTTTCTCTCTCTCTCTCTCTCTCTTTTTCATAACATCGGGATTCTGTTCTAAGACGATGGTTTTTGTGCTTGGAACATTTCTGGGTTCTAAGAACATTTCGTGGTAGGACTATTAGGAATGCCGGCACGGTCGGTCCCTGCTCAAGGCTCGGGCGGGCGTCGGGCGGGCGGTGATGTCTCCGCCCACCAATCCACCCCGACCCAACCCGGAGGCCCCGATTTGCCCTCCAGTTCCAGAGGGGGGGGGGGGGCGTCGGTAAGCAGGGGCAAAACACAGATGACGCCCGTACGCCCCCCGACCCGGAATTCGGGTCTTCGGGCTGGGTTGGGGGCGGTCTGGCAGGCAGTCTTCCTGGTTGGTGGCCCATCTGGGGGGTGAAGAAGAGGGCCCCAAAGGAACCCGTCAGGGGCCCTCTGGGCGCCGGCTGGTGCCTACAAAGAGGCCCCGAAGGGCCGCTCGAGGGCCCTTTTCTTCCCCCCGCGTGCGGGTCATCCCCCGTTGCCGCCCGCCCGAGGGCGGTTGATGTCGGGCCGAACGGAAGGGGGGGGGATAGTAGGGGAACAAAAAGTGTCATGAACATAAAAACTCGGCGGTCCGCGGGGATTTCTCGGATCGGCGCTGGACCCCCCTCCCTGGCGCGCGGAGCGCGCCAGGGGCGGCGTCGGAGGCGCCGCCAGGGGCCCCAGCGCCGATCCGAGAATTCCGCGCGGGCCTCCGAGTTTTTATGTTCATGCCACTTTTTGTTCCCCTAGATAGGGAAAGGGGGGGGTCACGAAATCTGCGACGTGCAGCTGCTTTCGGCCCCGCCGCCGGGCTCATTCTTCTCGATGCAAGGGCGCCTCTGGCGCCGGGAGGGCCGCGGGGCCCATTCTTCTCGATGCATGGGCGCCTCTAGCGACGGGAGGCACCGGGCAAAGCAGCTGCGTGAGCTGATTCGCCAACCCACCCTGCGCTATCCCCCTGTTCGTCGGACCCGATCGAGGGGGGTGACCTAACCTCTCAGGGTCTTTTGTCTTGCTCCCCCCCTTGTTTCTCGGGGCAGGGACAAGAAATCGTCCCTCCTCCTGCCCTCCCTCGAGTTTAGGGCTGATTACAACCAGAACACTTGCTTTACAACCAGAACGGTTTCTTTCCAACCAGGAAAACCTTACAATTCGTGTGAGTCGGTCTTCTTTGCAACCAGAAGGTCTTCTTCACAACCAGAACGGACCCGAACGCCGCAGCTTTACAACGGGACCGGTCACTTTGCAACTGGACCGGCGACTTTCCAACCATCTTAGCGCCCCCCAGCAAAGAGGCCTCTGATAGTCTTGGAGCGTCTCCTGCAATGCTCTATGAGAAGTCTCAGTGTCACTTCCGAAACGCCTCTGAGAGTCTTGGATCGTCCTCTGAAATGCTTCTGAGAAGTCTCAGTATCGTTTCCGAGAAGCCTCTGAGAGTCTTGCGGCCTTTGAGGACCGTCTGAGGGGTTTCCGAGAAGTCTCTGGGAGCCTTGCGGCTTTTAATGACCGTTTGAGGGGTTTCCGAGAAGCCTGGGGCGGCCTTTGAAGGGGCTTCCGAGAGGCTTCTGAGAGCCTCGGAGCGGCCTCTGAAAAGGGGCTCCGAGAAGCTTCTGAGAGACTTGGAGCGGCCTCTGAAGGGCTTCCGAGAGGCTTCTGAGAGCCTCGGAGCGGCCTCTGAAGGGCTTCCGAGAAGCTTCTGAGAGCCTTGGAGCGGCCTCTGAAGGGGTGTCCGAGAAGCTTCTGAGAACCTTCGGAACATTTGGGGACCTTTCTGGATCCTTAGGGATCCTCAGGAATCCTTGGGCATCCTTGGGAATCCTCGGGACTCCTGCGGGATCCTTCGGAGTTCTGGGGGATCCTCCGGATTGGGAATGTCCTCAGGAGGAGGAGGAAGAGGAGGAGGAGGTGGAGGAGGAGGAGGAGGAGGAGGAGGACGCCGTTGTGTTTGTATTTTCCATGCGTTTTTGGCGCCGCCTCAGGCCCCGGGGGCCGCCGACAAAAAACAGCTCGGGGCCCTGAGGCCAAGAAAAAAACGCGAGGGCGACGAGGAGGAGGACGACCAAGACGAATATGTTATGTTTTGCTTTTTTGCTTCTCTCAGTTCTTGGCGCCGTGAAGCGACCCAGAGGCCGCCGAAAAACACCTCTGGGCCCAAGGGCCGCCGAAAACCGCGATGGTAGTAGTAGTCTTATCATTACTACTATTACTACTACCACCACCACCGCCATCACTTCTACTACTGCTACTGCTACTGCTACTGCTACTACTACTGCTACTACTACTACTACTACTACTACTACTACGACCACTACTATTGCTACTACTACTACTACTACCACTACTACTACTACTACCACTACTACTACTGCTACTACTACTACGACTACTAGTGTTACTATTACTACTACTACTACTACTACTACTACGACTGCTACTACTATTATTTTTAATCGCACTACCACTACTACTACCACCAGTACTGCTGATACTACTACTACCACTCAAACTAATACAACTGATAGCACAAGTGCTGCTACTACCACTACTTCTACTCCTACGACTGCTGCCGCTGCTGGGACTATTAATACTACTACCACCACTACCACTAGTACTACGACTACGCTTACTAGTACTGTTATTATTATTATTGTTACTACTACTACTACTACTACTACTGCTACTGCTACTACGTCTGCTACTACTTTCACAACTGATATTATTACTACTCCTGCTACAGCTACTGCTACCGCTGATACTACTACCTCTGCTGCAGCTGCTGCGATATTTGATGCATCGCATTCATCCTAGTACTCCTACAGCTACCAATCGTAGGAAACTTATACAACGACGGCTACATCGATTAGAGCGTTTGCTACTACTGCTACTACTACTACTACTACTACCACCACCACTTTTAATTCACTACTTTTACTACTACTACTACTAATAATACTACTCGCACTACTCCTACTACTAGTACTACTATTGCTGCTACTACTACTACTACTACTACTACAGCTATTACTAGTAGTAGTACTGCTACTACTACTACTACTACTACTGGTGATACCAGTGCTACTACTAGTCAGCATAGCACTACTACTGCGACTTCTACTACTTCTACTGCTACTAGTACTACTACTACTACTACAACTACCACTCGTGCTACTACTACTACTACTACTACTACGACACTACTACTGGTACTACTGCTGCTACTAGTACTACAATTATTGTCGGAGAAAAAAGCTCTGGTCCCCAGGGACGCCAGAAACCGCTCAGGGGCCATTACGGGCAATCCACGACGTTTCCTAGCACCATTGCTATCATCATTCGTGCCAGTATTACTATTACTACTTTGTCTAGTTACTAGTACTACTAATACTAGTAACTAGTACTAGTAATACCCAGCATAGTTCTAGTTGCTAGTTTCCAGTTGCTAGTATTACTATTTCTAGTTCTAGTTGCTAGTCTTACTTGATACTATTGTTCATACTACCACAGGTCTCACTAATACTGGTATTACGTTTACTATTTCTACTATTATTTTTTCTTAGCACCACTATTACTACTAGTATTACTCTACTACTTTAACTACTGCTGCTGCTTCTGCTACTACTACGGGTACGACTACTTACAACTCACTCTACTGCTACTACTAGTATCACTAGTACCACTAGTACTACCACTACTACTGCTACTACTCCCACTGCGATTACACATACTATTACGACAAGCGCAACCAGTATAAGTACCACCTACTACTGCTGACACTACTGCTATCACCAAAACCGGTATCATTACTATCACAAGCGCTACTATTACGACTACTCATACTTCCAATAGTAATGTTGTTGCTGGCAGTACTAATACTACTACTGCTGCTACTACTACTAGTACTACTATTGCTACTACTACTACTGCTACGACTCCGACTGCGATTACGCCTTCTACTCCTATTA